GCCTCAAAGTATTCTATGGGTTCCTCACAAACAAGGCAAGCCTGTGAATAGTAGGCACTGAGTTACTAAAAACTTAATTTTGAGAGCAGGTTTGGACACAGCTGTGGGCAAAATCCATGACCTGATTTACTAGATTTCCTGCTCAGGCCTCAACAAATCTGTTATTGTAACTGCTTGTGCAAGAGTCCTTTGGCTGCTTTCTTCTTTGTACTTAGGAAACAGCTCGTTCTTGCCCTGGCCCCGCTATGGCTCCTGTAGCGTTTAGTGAAGTAAGTGGATGTTTGAATGAATCTTTTTAGTGTCAGAACTACTTAATATTGTTTTTAGTTTACCAGGAGATTGTATGCCTAGATTTATGTTGATAAACTAATGCTTTAGTTAAAGGCTTTGGTAGGGAGAATATTAGCTGAACCTCCATGTGCATCTGAGGCAAATAGGAAGGGAGAAGCTTTGCATCGAAGTTATGTGAAAATATCTAGCTATATTAAATCAAAATCACAATCATTATGGCAGGTATTCTTGGGACTTAATGCACCGTGTGCGTGTGTGTGTGTGTATATATATATTTGTGTAGTTTTCAGAGAAATAAAACTGTTTTTGAGACTTAAATTTTGCCTCTTGCCAATCCCGAGATAGTACCCCTTGCCCCGTAGGCTTTGGTTACATCTGGAAATGTTGCATTTTGTACATTCAGAATATACAATCAAGAGAAAATCACAATGGCAGTAAAAGTTAGAGGGTACTGGAGCAATACGGATGCAGGGATAAAAGCGGGTATCATAGAAAATTTGATGGTGTTGAGATTATTTTCCTCAAGCTGATGGAAGACCAATGCAATACTAAAACATTACTTTAACCTTTTGTAAATACACAAGTCTTTTTTTCATGTTACTGGCATTTCAAGCTGGTTGACTGTCTAAAATGCTCATGGCTCCAAGTTATTTTTAATTAAAATACTCTGAAAAATTAGATAATGCGTCTCCTAGCTTCAAACATCTTCTAATTTTCTTGCAGATGATAAGCAAAACAACTTAGCACTTATCAAACTTAAAATGTTTGTTTTTCTTTTCTGTTAGTTATTTCTCTTCTTTCTCATTTACATTCTTGCCTGCCTCCATTTTAATTTTCTCTGCTCTTCAATGTATTTAATCATCCCCAATTATAACAGGCTGTGTTAGTCCTGTACTAGCGAATACAGTAACTGGCAAGTAGTATTTTGCTCATTGCATGTCCGAGTTCAGTTAAAATCTCTCTGTTATTATAATATATACAATTGCAGAAATACACAGGTGTTTCTTAAATCAGATTAAAACCAATCACAATGGGGATCTGTTTCAGCCCAGTAGAAACTGCAGGATTTTGCAGCATACCTGCCTTTTTGTATATAAAAAAAAATAAGCTGTACTTACAGAGGAACGATTGAATTTCTAAAAGGTAGACGGGTTGCTTAAATGGGCAGAATTGAGCAGAATTGCTTGTGGAGCAAACATTTGGTATTTTTGAACATGCTGAAAATAACGTGTTTGGGGTTTTTCTTAAAATATACTTGCAAGCCTTTGTTATTAGATAGAAATACAGGAATATTCACTACAGATTTTTGTCACATTTATTTATTTACTACCTACATCACCTGGAAGGTAGTATCTTTCACTGGCAAGAAACTAGGGCTTAGATTTCCTGGGATGTTAAAGTGTGCTTTTCCTCCAGAGAATGTGACTACACAGTTCTGTATAGAAGTATGGTGTGGCTAAAGTTTCATTTACCTTTTTCCATTCCAGCTTTACGTATGAAGAAAGCTGAATGTACTTTGTTCATCCTGATGCAGCTATATTACTCTTCAAAACATGTGGCTTGGGGATGTGGAATGATTAACAGAATTACTTGTTTGAAATACGTCTTGAATATCTGTAGCATGTCAATCTGCAGCAAATAAGTCTTCCAGACAGCATGAATCATTCATATAATGGCTTGTGCAACAATAATGAATTTGAAGATGTTCTTCTTCCCTGCACTCACCAAGCGTTGAATTGTTAGGAGTGTTAAACCAGAGTATATTTTAGGTCAGAATGCTTCTTGGAGTTTTGTATTATATCAGCGGTTGCAGAAGACCTCGCTGCAAAGAAGCAACCTCTTCTGTTGCTTGTATTACAGTGGAGGAGCTTTGCAAAATGGCTTTTGTGCATTGAATGCAATGAGCATGTGCTAGTAGGGTGGATGGGTGGGGGGATGCTGACAACAAAACTGATTTTTAAAGCAGACCAATGTTTTTGCATTAAAAGTTTGTTTTCAGATGTTCCTGGTTTTGTGAGACTTTGTGCTAAAGCTGTGTGTGTGTGTGTTAACAAGGCAGAATCCAAGCCTGAATAGTTACTTTGAGGAACTAGGGTTGCATTTAAATGATAGACTTAGACTGAAGTAAGGACTGCTGCAACAGGGAGCTGGCTTGCCCATTGCCAGCCATGTTCCTGCCTCTTCCCTTGTGCCAGCAGTGGTGCTGGAGTGGCCATGGGTTCAGTGAACCCACCTGTCTAAAACGAAATCCAGCTTTCAATTGTTTCATTTCTGCTGCTGATCTACAATGTGTGGTTCCACAATTGCTGGTGCTAGCCTAGGAGGAGTAGCCAGGAGGAGAAACTGGAGTAGTCACTGACAAGGAGGGAGAAGGAACTGCCCTGTTCAGCAGCAGCTCTGTGTCTGGGTGAGTGATAGCCTTAAACAGGAGAAAGCACGTTGATAAAGTTGCATGTGTAAAGTATGTTCAAATTCTGTCCCTGGCTGTACCTTGTTTTCTCAGGGAATTTGAGTAATAAGGTACTATTTTGATGGCGATTTCCAGCCTTGGCCTGAACAGTTGGCAGTAGCAATGCCTCTCACTGATCTGCAGTTGCGGAGGTGGAAATCTTGAAGTGAGCTGTCAGATCTGCAGACAGACAGAACAGTTTTCAGAAAGCTCTAAGACATCACACTTTTCACCCTCACTGCAAAGTTGTAAGACTGATTTCTCATGTATGTTCAGTAGCCTACCTGATGTGTGGGATGTAACTCCTGCCAGGAGTTACTCTTTCTTAAAATTGTTTGTAAGTTGGGGATTTCCAAATTGGACTGTGAACAGTTGCAGTATGGCATGGGTTTCTGTGGGAGAGGGAAGCTCAGCCTGTCAGCTCTTTGATGGAGATGGGGAAGACTTGCTCATACAACCCCCATGCCATCCCCTGGGTCTGGCCAAGAACTTTCAATGCTCCAACCTACATAGGAGAGGTGGAGATGGCACTTAAGGTATATAAGGGATATATCCTGGTGTAATGTGGAATAGTACAAGACAACTTTTTGTATCTGGAGATACCAAAAGAAGCACAGCTGAAGAATTTCCTCCTAAGATCACAAATGTCTGGTGGGCCTTATTAAATTATTAAATTGGCCTTGGTCTGGAACCAGCCACCTTTATGTTCTTGGGGTAACTGAATGAAGCAGAAGAGGGAATGGTGCTGTGTTGCAGCCATGGGTGTCCTGCATGTGTTGTGATCCCAATACTAGTGCCTTGGTTGTGTGGGTTGTTGATCTCTTCATGGACCTTTGCAAACCTCCATTTTTTTAGAAGCAGCTTCTTAGTGTAGGGCTATTGAAGTCTTTAAAAAGATAATAAGCTTCTAAGAAATAAGCATTTGAAAATACTGTAGCAATCCACAAAGTATTGAAGAGTCTTTAAACAGTGTTAAGCAATAGCTGTGGAATCTCTTTCCACTGCTGTTTTAAGAGTAGGCTTGGCTGTTGCTAAGAATGGCTTGATATAATGGATTTTGCCTCGGGATAGGAAGATGCATTATATCAGCTCTTCTAGGTTCTGCAGACCAGTTGTTTTTCAGAAGACAACAGAGGATTGCCTTATGAAATGGTTGGCTGGGTTTTGAATTATTTTTTTTGGAAACTAGCAAACAAAACCCCAGTTGTACTTCATTTCTGCTAGTACAAGCAAGAGGTAAAATGATGGCAAAGAAAAGCAATAAATTTAACTATTCAAACTCTACCCTAATTATTTTGTGAAAATGAAAATAATTATGGCAACACTGCAAAAAATGAGAAATGGATTTTCAGACTTCCCCTTGCACTTCCCGACAGAAAAAAAAAAAAAAAGTGGATTTTTTGATTCAGGAATGGAAGAATACTGACTTAAGTGAGATTTCCAGGTCCTTCATATAGTATTTTAAGTCTTTGCATAAGGTTTACAGAACTGTAATAACTTCCACAGCCACAAAACAATATGCATGGTTTAGGCTTACAGAAGTACTTTCTAACACATGCTTTTACTACAGTTTCTGTTGTTTAGATACGTTTTGCTTTATTTTTGCATCCAGCTTTCTTACAAATAGCAGCATATATCTCAATTAGAATGAATTCCATCCTGCTAGGACAAAATTCAGTAGAAGTTTGCTTGCTTTGTGCTTTGCTCTTTTTTTTTTTTTTATTATTATATGTCTGTAGGAATTGCTCTGGCCTACCAAAAAAAAAAAAAAAAAGACATTTAGCAAATTTTGGATGTTACCCTCAATAATGAAATATTTTGAATGTATAGCATTTTGTGAACACTTTGGATACAGAAATAGAATGGCTGAAAAACATGCTGTTTTTTCAGTAATTCTATTGAACAAGCACATTGACAGTTCAGACGGGAAGAAGTCAGAGATTGTAAGCTTTCTCTAGGAGATACTAGGCAATCCATGGTGGAAATATATATATATATATATATACACACACATACATACACATGTGTGTATATATATATATATTTAATACATGCAACTCTTCAAGATTTAAGCAAAGTAATAAGTTTGAGTGAAAGGTAAAGCATATTTTTACAATAAGACACTCTTCAGAGTGAAGAGAGGTATTCAGATTTTCTCCGTGGAGAAGTGTTAGCACTTACAATGTGTGTTTGTACTCATTCTACTTTGCATTTAATCCTGTTTCTAACTCTTGTTTTTTTGAACATATTTGTTTTTCAGGCAGCAGCATCTGTCCAAAGTCCTTAATACCGTCTAGATCTTGCCCACTGAGTGCCACAACCAGGCTAATTGAGCAGAATGCACGCAATGAAGCGGCTCAGGGATTAAATGGAAGTGTGCCAATCAACCAGTCCCCACGTTCAGCTTCAAATCCAAAGCCACAAGGTAAATAGTATCAAATACTTCAGTCTGGTAATTTGTTCTTCATCTTACTTTCAGAGAAACAGAGCACCTTGAAAGAATTGTACTTCTTGAAGAGAAAATAATGGGGTAAAAACTTGCTATGGAAGTACAAATGTTCTGTAAATGCTTTGAATGTGTAGTTTCTGATGAAGTAATATTTTGCTGAAAAAGGTTCTCAGAAGAAAGATTGGACTTACTAACATGGTTTAAAACATGGTAGATGGTGCTTTCATCTCAAGTATCTAGCAATTTGCTGTGCACGTACTGCCAGGCAGCAAGTGTGAAAGTCTTTTGGTGCCCAAGACGTGGCTAGTAGTTAGAGATGAGAAAACATGTACAGGTCCCTTGTTAATATTAAGCTGATGTCAGGGCTTGTTTTTCATACGGATTACCATTTTTGAGCTAGAAGGTTGTGATACTATTTTTGAATGAGATAGTGTTTGGCAGACTGACTTCACAGCTGGGAGGAAATTCAGGACCTTTGAGATTTCAGCTGAGCTCAGTTCAGGTAGGATTATGTGGAAAGAGATTGGAACTCGGTGCTTACACAGTAAAAGCTGTACAGCATGTCCTGCAGAGTAGTAGATTGCTCTTCTTCCTGTCCATAAATAGCGTTTTCAATTTTAGAAGATTAAGAGGTTTCTAACCTACATGTTGAAATTACGTATCTATACCTCTAACCATTTTTATGTGGTCTTCTCAGTAACGTTGATGATTCTGCTGAGGTTGATCATAACAGAGTCCCTATGTTCTGGAAATCTTGAATTCAAAGAGAATCTGAACTGATGTCTTTTAGTAGCGATGTACAGTAGGAACTTCATCTCAAAAGGAAAAAAGTGAATTTTGAAGACTGATATCATTTTGCTCAGTGAATTGGATTCTAAGAGAGCGCTGATATGGCAGAAGCTAGAGTCACTTAGAGAAAACTAGATCACATCTAAACTATGAACAGAAAATAAAATCATGTAGACTCATCATGTTGTGGATTTAAAAATCTGTGTATCAGTCCATGGGAAAATGCATCTTGAAGAACTTTGCAGTAGTTAAGTAGTTAGAGTTAAGGAGGGGAAGAAATTTTTGAAAAGCTTTGTTTATTTAGGGAGAATGAGAGCAAAGTAAATATTTTTTTATGTTGTTTGTTGTTATTTAACCTTTGATAAAACATTTTTAGTTCAGTGAACAATACTGGCAGTCATATGTAAACGTTGCTTATCAGAGTGGTCTTTCTGCACCAGTTCCTAGGGCTCTGAAAAGCATTCTCCAAAGCTAAGTTAGCAAGAGACCACATGTTCTTCCCAATAAAAGTATTTTAAAAGAGAAATGGGCAATGAATAAAAAGATTTAAACTTTTCAAAAACAAAGCCCACTTGGTATAAATTTCATCTGTTAGATAAATTAGGCATTGGATATTATTGAACCTCATTCATTCAAGGCATTACATAGCTGTTGTTGCTCTTTTGTAGCCATGACTTCATTTATGCCAAAATTGCTTGCTCCAAAAAGTGGCATAGCCAGGAGTAATGTCATAGTCTAAGAAATGCAGCTGTGGAGATTCAATACAATAATACTGTCATAAATAGTATTTTGTGCGTGCTCCATTCATGGGCCTATGTCTCTCTCTGTTCCTATTAAATGTGTGCTGCATATCAAAATTACAGAGTATTTTGTTTGGGCTTTTTTTTAATTCAATTGAAGCAAAACAAAATAGCATAAATGAGATCAGCATTTGGGAGACCAAATTGTTTAAGCAAACTAAATTGATCTAGTTTATTAGTTTAAATATTACTGAGTTTTGTTTGTTTGTTTGTTTTTTGAGCAGCTATTAACATACAGGTATGAAGTCATTTTAGTTTTATCGTAGCAGGAAATGTTTCTCCAAATTGTTGTTCTAGTCTTGTAAATATTAAATGTCCTTTTGTAATGAAAGGAAGTAAGATCACAGACCTGAACCGAAATGCCGCTGTGTTTAGTTGCTGATGAATTAACTGTGAAATGACCTTCATCTAACCTATAAAAATGTATACAATTAAAATGAGAGAAAGAACACTTTGAAGTTGGATTATAAGTGGGGTATGGGTATTTTTAATAAGCTTAACTTTCATATAGAGGCAGAATGTCCAAAATCTTGCACTTGAAATAAATGAACTGTGGACTCTGAACCTACTTTACTTTGTACTTTAGAGCAATAGTTAGAGCAAGTGAACGCTTTTTCTGCACAGAATCCAATATAAAATTCTTTCAAATTATTTTTTTTTCCTGGCATTTCAAAGAGAAGACAAAGTAGCTGTCTGATACATTGATAGTAGGAAATAAATAAATAAATAAAAAGCAGTTTTTGTTCCCCAGTAATTTCTTCTATCAACAATTTAGCAATTCATATGTCAGAGTTCTGTGCTAAGTAGAAGTTGATTCATAAAAGTCTGCAAATTTGGAATGAAAGCAGAAGGTGACTGAAGGCCAGTTAGGGAGTTAAGTGCGGAAGCCTTGACCTCAGAGAAAAGCAGTCACAGTGTGTACCAGCTGTGAAACACGGTGCTTTGCCTTTGCATCAGCATGGTGCATTCTGTGATAAAGGCGTGAATCCAGACTGGAGGTAGTCACTGGAAATAGCAAAATACACTAATGAGTTCTGGGGCAAATGTGATGTGCAAGAAATGAAGCAAATTGTTAGAAAACTCGACATTTGCTCTCACCTACAAATACTTTGGCAGTGATCTGGACCTAGTGATAGCAGACTGCATGTGGAGTCACATGAACAAATTGATGCTTTTTTTTTTCTAGGTTCTTCTATTCCCTGCTATTTGAACCTCTTTTATGAACTTTATATGATGCTCAATTAGGAAGTATTGAACACTAAAACTGTTGTCTCTAGCAGCCGGTATTGTTGTAGCAAGGAAAATCTGTTAAGTGTCAACGCTTCCTCAAAGCAATGAAGGATCTTGTCAGTTGAGGACTGCACATCAGTTGCTCATTTAGATTTTTCTAATGAGCACTTAGGAGTACTTGTGAATCTCCTACTGATTCCAAAGAGGCATCTTTGTTAGGGTTGGAGATTATGTGCTGCTCCAGAAAATGGCCTGGTGTGTGCTGCTATGAAATGGTATGGACACAAACATTCAACACTTGGTCAGCTGAAGTGCATTTACTGTGTCATGTCAGTCCTGGTCTCCTTTCTCTGCTAATTATAAATTAGTCCATGGTTTTTAAGGTATTTGGTGGCCTGGGCCCAGAAAAGCTGAAAAACCTCTTAAAGGTGTGCAGTGTAGACTTTTTCTGGCAAAGGAAACTTGTACAATTAAAGGTGAAGTGGACTGAAACTGAGAGCCAGATAGACTTCTCCAAACTATGGTGCTTTAAGAAACCAAAACCTGTAGCAATGTCTCTTTTTGCAAACAAAATGCTAGTTTCCAAACCTAATTTTCAGAAAGGATATAAATGAATAAAACACGCTTGAGTGTTACTGGTTTTATTTCTTCATAGGTTTTTGAAAGACACTTGTTCTGACACGATATGAAAATGTGGAAATGTACATCCTAAAGAGGAGCTGACATTCTTCATCCTCCTGCTGAGTCTAGGTTACTGGTTATTTTGTACAGTTCTTGCTACTTTAAGTCTTCAGTATCTGTCCAGCTGTGCTCGTTTGATCCTCATGAAGGTGATGGAGCATACAAAAAGACGAAGATGACTCAGCCAGGAGAACTGTGGTTGCTTACCACAGGAACTGTTTTTATATTTTCATTGAATTAAAACGTGGCAGCATTTTTAACCAGCATAATTTAAGTGCATAGAGGGGGGAATGACCATGCTTTCTAAGAGAAGTGATAGACTTTAGTATGCCTTCTTGTCAGCAGAGGTTGTTGCAGCAAGTGAGCCATTTGTAGGTGTCTCAAATTACCTCGCATCTCCTTATGCTTGTACGAAGTTGAATGCACAACTAGGGACTACAGTTTAAACACTGATTGTATATTTCAGTTAGCACAATGCAGTAGCAGCTACCTGAGTATACTAAGGTGTTTTTTTGTTTTTTTTTTTGTTTTTTCAGGCAGAATATTCTGTTCATATCTCCTAATAAGCTCAAAATTCTACAGTGTAGAGACAAGAGTATTTATAGATTTGACAGAGCTCTGTATTATGCAGTATATTACAATAGGCCAGTCTTTTCTCATTTCTTTTCTTTAAAATCCTTGCTGTGTGAACTTTGAAAAATAATCTGATTAAAACAAAACACTTTAGAAGTACATTGAGGGAAGAATTAATGGAATTTGCTTTCTATAATTCCTGTTAATAAGGTTGACCTTACAGGGAGGTTTGCAGGGCTTTTTATACTATTGTGCTTTTCTTTTCAGTTGATCTTGTGACTGTCCTTTCCCCACTGCACTATTTCTAAAAGTATTAGTAGCAACAGCAGCAACTGACTATGGGAAATGCTGTCTGTTAGATAGTAATAGGAAATAAAGAAGAAAATAACTTGCACTGGGGATTTGGTATGTCTGTTTGGTTTGTGGTTCTCCTCTGAAGACGTCACAGGAATTTTTTGATATACTGGTTTTGTCCAGTTTGAGCAGAGATTCCTCAAGCTTACCCTACTGAAATATTATGTTGGTATTTCTTTCCTTTTTTTCCTTAATAATAGCTACAAAAATGTGCAATTCCTTCACAGAATGTCCTAGAATTTGATTTTTGTCCCAATGGATCCCCTACAAAAATAGCTTCCAACTAATTCTTTCTGCTTTATTAGTAGACACCAATTCCCTCAAGTTTAGTAGCTTTAAGATATCCTTGTGAGGATATTATCTTATTATGAGATGTGCAAAAGAATTGATGTACGAGTCTATTAAGTAAGAAAACTCACAGGACTGTGGGCTCTACACAATGAGTTCCAAGAAGCCTTTCTATAAAAAAAGCCGAGTGCTGGTCAGTAAACCCACCCAACATCCTCTTTCCCTTTCGTCTCCTACCCCAGGGAAATGGCAATGCCCACGCTCAATTATGTGGCCTGCTTTTTCCCAGCCCACTTGTCTCGCATTTTTCAGCTGTTCCATTGCCTTTGTCAGAGCAGTAACCTATTCAGTGCTTTGACAGTTATGTGATGCTCGTTGGCCTAATTCTGCCACGCATTCTCAGAGCTCCCTGGGAAGACGGAGCGTAGGAGAAACTGTTCCACAGCACTTCAGCTGCGGGTGAGCAAATGTACACAGCCCCACAAGAAAGGCTTCAGTTAGCACATATACTCAAGCATTTACACAATTTTATATTCTGTTTGTTCCAGGATTGTGTTGTAACTATTTGAAAATTACAATATTTTCAGTTGTCTTTGCTGCACTGCATCCTTTCACAAACTTCCTTTTTTGCTTGTTTTACCAAATGGGAACAAAGCTTAACCAAAGGTACACACATACACGTTAAATAAACTGATCTACAAGGACTTCCTTTCTTCTTTCTCTATTTCATTTGTCCCCAGTTATAGTTGATTGAAGTCTTAAGCTTTTTGTGGTACTTTAATTGCTTCACAGTGTCCCTCATGGTACTTTTCAGACTGCAATTATCACTGCAATCTCTCTCGAGTACAATTTAGTTATCAGATGGACAGAAAAATGTTACCTTCTATAAATTTAATCTAAGGTAGGAGGTGGAAAGTCATCCTAAATCAAATGTCCCTTCAAATATATCATATTCTGTGATAGTATATTTGCAAGACTTTATTCGCCACCACTTCCAAGTGCTGGTTGGTGGGATTGAAGCGAATTCCTATGGCACACAGTTTTTTCAGGGTAAATCAGGAAGCTGTTTTAGAATCAGGGATGTGACAAGCATGGCTTTCTCACGTCCATCTATTGTGCACCCCGTAGCAGTGTTTATTTGTCTGTTGTGTAAGTTGTGTGTGTTTGCCAATGCACATTCTTACCTCTTTTCCCTTGTGCATGATCCCTGGCAAGTCCCAGGTACCTGCTGGAGGGTCAGGCTTTGTGGCACACCTTCATGCAGTGCCTTCAGTCGAAGTGCATAGCAGCTGAGCCCAAGGAGCGTCTGCTGCCATAGGCGGTGACTTCCCTTCTAGTCACTGCCGTATTAAACACTGGCTGATCATTAACAATCTAATAAAAGCTTATGGTAGGGATTGTGGAAAAAATTAGAAAAATGAAAAATATTTTTGGGGAGCCAAATTTTCAGCAGTATAAATAGACAAAGGTTCACTAACTAAAGGAAGCTTGAAGCTGAAGATGAATCTCTTTTCCACTGACAATTAGCTCTGAAGTAATGAGGGAGAAGGTAAAGAATGAGAGCATCGATGGCTAAGGGGCAGCAGTTTAAATCTCTCTTGGGAAGAGATTCTTGAGTTCCACAACATGCCTAGATCCTATGACTAATTCCTTTTCAGAATAAAATCTGTATTTATGGAGGCAGCATATGTGTTTAATGCAGAACACCAAAAAGGAGAAGGAGAAAAAAGGGGGAGGGGGGGGGGATGGGGCAGCTTTTTAGCTTGGCTTTAGTTTGGCTTCCACTCAAGAAATCAAAGGATCATTAAGGTTGGAAAAAACCTCCAAGATTGTCTTGTCCAACCTCCCCCAAACACTGCTATCACCCACTAAACCATGTCCCTAAGCACCATGTCCAACCTTTCCTTGAACACCCCCAGGGACGGTGACTCCACCACCACCCTGGGCAACCCGTCTCAGTGTCTGACTGCTCTTTCTGAGAAGAAATGTCTCCTCATTTCCAGCCTGAACCTCCCCAGGTGCAACTTGAGGCCCTTCCCTCTAGCCCTGTCACTAGTTATCTGCAAGAAGAGGCCAACCCCCAGCCCCCCACAACTTCCTTTCAGGTAGTTGCAGAGAGCAATGGAGGTCTCCCCTGAGCCTCCTCTTCCCTTGACTAAACAACCCCAGTTCCTTCAGCCGCTCCTCACAGGACTTGTGTCCTTCCCCAGCTTTGAAGCCCTTCTCTGGACATGCTCCAGAGCCTCGATGTCCTCCTTGTACCAAAGGAGGGCCCAAAGCTGAACATAGTACTCAAGGTGTGGCCTCACCAGAGCAGAGTACAGAGGGACAATGACTTCCCTCGTACTGCTGGCTACTCTGTTCCTGATACAAGCCAGGATGCTGTTGGCTGCCTTTGGCACCTGGGTACACTGCTGGCTCATGTTCAGGCAAGCGTTGACCTCCCCCTCTCTCCCTCCGATCCCTTACTTCTGCACAGCTTTTGAGCCGCTCTGCCAGAAGCCTTTAGCATTGCATGGGGTTGTTGTGGCCAAAGCGCAGGAGCCGGCACTTAGCCATGTTGAACCTCATCCCATCAGCCTCTGCCCATCGATCCAATCTGTCCAGGTCCCTCTGCAGGGCATTCCTACCCTCCAGTGGATCGACACGTCCCCCCGACTTGGTGACATCTGCAAACTTACCGAAGGTGCACTCAATTCCTTCATCCAAATCATCAATAAAGATATAAAAGAGGATGGACCCAAACACTGACCCTGTGGGAATGCCACTCAGTCAGCTGGATTTAAGTCCATGAGCCACCACTCTGGGCCTGGCCAAAACGTAACAAGATGTCTGATACACACACTACATAAGTGTATGAAGTTGCTGTATTCATAAAACAACTTGAAGGTTGGGTAAATTGAAGAGACTCTCTTTTTAATTACTGTGATAAATTCTTATGCAAAAATATCATATGTGTTCTGGAAATTCAAATAAACAACTCCTGAGTGATTGATCACCATTACTGTTGTTTGCAGTGCCTCCAAAGCCAATTCATCTGCAGAAGGTATCACCTGTTACATACCAAACCCCTAGGCATAAAGCTTTATCAAGTCAGAAGCCAAGAATGGAGGAAGACACACCTACCCCTGTTCCTAGTGTCACAAAGGAAAAGTCCAGTAAAGTGTCAGATCTCATCCATCGTTTTGAAGGAGGCAGGTATGTGGTATAATTTTAATTATTTTGTAGTTCTGTCATGTGTGGCTTAACATTCAAGTAATGTGTAAATAATGTTGATAGTATGGTGGTGCTCAAAACTATCCCTGCCAGAGGAGCTGATGGCAAAACTGCATGCTTTGAAATGGTGCGAACCAATTGTATATATGATCTGTACAGGTCTGTGCTTCTTCATGAGACCCTAGTCTTAATTTTTCTTTAAAGTGAGCAGACAAACACACACACAAACACACCTCTCTCAGCATTTTTAAAAACATCCTGAAAAAAACAGTGATTTGAAATAAGTGCTGATTTAAGAAGGAAACTTTGGAGAAAATCCTAAGTGATCTTGTTCTCACAGGAAAAAAAAATAAAATCACTTTTATAAACAAACAGAAAAACTGGAAATCCTGATTTTCCATTTATGCTGACTTAACCTCTTCAGATCATTCATGTGGAGAGAAAACATTTTAGTGGATGCATGCTATATGATCTACTTGTATCAATATGGCATGCATCCACTAAACTGCTTCGTGGTACTTGGTGATTTTAGTGGAATATCTTGAGGTTCCTTACTTTTTATGCTGTGTTTCACAGGAAACACTTGGAACTTTGAAAAACAAGAGCTAGAGTGAGCTCTACATTCATGGAATAGTTCCATTTGTGTGTCTTTTAATTGGATGCATATGACAAACATTGTAAACTCTGAAACAGAAGTTCCAAATATATCTACTCTGTACAAAGAAAGTGACTTTCCAGAAATCCCATGACAGAGGAACAGTTCAGGAAACGGTCCAGTAACAGTGGAGTGTTACAAGTTTGAGATATTGCTTTCTTCTGTTTCCTCAGGATATCGATGTTTTGAAGGAATGGCCCCTAGAGGGCTGAATGCATGATGTACGACAGACCATGTTGTAAGGAGCCAGAGTATTAAAATTTTCATTGAAAGGATGCCTCCTCAAGATAGGGGAAATGTAATCCTTTATGCAGAAGCATCTGAGCATTACAAAAGGAGGTTTGTTTAGTGGAATAAAAAACACTTTAGAGCTTTGTCTGCAAGAAACTTCCATCATTAGCCACAGGCTTAATTGTGCTGTTGTCATGACAATTGCCAAAAGGTGGGAAAAAGAGACTAGTGCAGCACTAGAGGTCCTGTGAATTTTATGACTGGTTCAAGGCTCCAGTCCTGTTATCACTTTGTTTCCCAGTCTTCCTTCAGAGAATTATCCAAGTCTTTTTAATAACTCAGTGGAGTTATTAATAATTCTGGAATGCCCTGCTGTGACTGGGGAAGGAGTGCATGTTTTGAAAACATGCTCTGCTCAGAGAATGTGTCTTCCATGAAGGTCAACTTCACTAGTAATTATTGGTCTTCAAATGACTAGGTAGCATGTTCATGAATGACAAACTGATTGTCGATTATTATAACATATTTTCATTAGTCTGTACAGTTCATAAACATACAGGCATGAGAGAAAATTAATTAAGCCACTTTACTGTATGCATGCAATGGAAAAAGGTAAATGAGTTATAGCTAAGTTTCTCAGCATTTTGGGAGTGCTTTTTTAAAAAAAAATAGAATATTTTTTGTACAACTAAATGAGAAATTATTTAGTTCTTTTGTTATATATATGATGGAAGAAAATGAAGATAGTGTAAGATATTTTTCAAGCTACTTGTACAGAAGTTCATAAGTATTTGTATAAACTGTCCTATAAATAAGGAGTAAACATAGAGTTTATAACCAGTTACCTTTCTGGAAGATTAATAGTCCATTCTGGGAGCAATATGTTACAGAGCAGTCATGTTGTTTCTTCAGGTTGAATATCGTTTGATAAATGTACTTAAAATCAAACTGTGTAATTTTATTTTTGTTTCCAATGATTTATTCCTTTCCCTTTTTCTTTAATTAAGCCAAACCTTTTTACAGAATGGGCTAACATTTTTATTAGCCTAAAATTAAAAATCTGCAAAATCTAACAGAGAGATAGCGAAAAGTATGAAAAAGGGTTAAGATATGTTTAAAGCTGAGCTAAAATATGGAGAGAAAAGAACTTCAAAAGAGGAGCAGTATTACTAAATAAGGAAACTGGAAGAAGAAATGGGATAGGAACTTACAGCTCTGCTTGCAATATGTTGAATTAACGAAAGGGATGCTAAATGTTCTTGGATGTTTTTTTGTGCATTCTTGAAAAGCAAATAGAGAACAGGTTCTGTGTTTCTTTAGGAATTGGACTGGTACTTGGGAGACCAAGATTCTTTCCCTTTTTCCGCCAGTAATCTAGGACACTTGGGACAGGCTGCATCCTGTATCAGTGCCTCAGTTTCCTTATCTATTGCATGTAGCTAATGATACTGCCTTCCACTTTAAAAACAGAGATACAAGAGAGATGAGGGTGTAGTCAATCAATATAGACTCCAGGTTTTCACTAAAAGGTGTGTGTTATGCTTTAATGGAAAAATGCTATTCAAGTCTTGGTTGTGTGAACTTCCTAACGTTAATATAGGAAGAAATGATTTGAAGGAACAGTTTATATGGTCTAACTGTCCTACTTCCCTTAATAGTTGTTTAATTATTTTTTTCTTTTATAATACCATGTTTAACTTTTCTCTCATCTATGTTTTGCTTGTCTGGTGTCGTAGCCCATTCAGTCCTAGTGATTTGAAGAAAGATTCCTCTGTTCTCAACATCTCTAAATCTCAAGGAAGATATGGATCAACACCATCACCTCAGCCAAAATTCCCCTCCCATCAACTGCTACAAAAACAGGGAAACAGTAATACCAACAAAACTCAGGTTGCACAGACACACACAGCCAATGGAGTACTAGCACAAGACCAGATGGAACGTGAGGACAGGAGGATACCCGACCACGGCTCTGCTGTGTCCACCCCAGTTCCAGATAATTCAATCAACAGCAGCTTAATAAATGGCGAAAGAGTAAGTACGTCCAGAGAGTCATTAGAAACTACAACTTCCTGTGAAGGACAGATACTTAACAGCTGCTACAGGACTTCAAGCAGTGATACACTGCTCCCATCTGACAATGAAACTCCAGAAGTTAATACTAACATGGAGGAAGAACCAAATGAGGAAATCAGCAAACAAGATCAACCTACAGAAACAAAGGTAAAGAGAGAAGTTGTTTCTTTCTTGCGATATCGCTGCTCTGTGCGTTTTCTCTAGACTTCTGTTCATAAAAGTAAGCTTCCTAGGACAGGTCAGAAAGCTGAAAATCTTCTAGTTATTTTTCCTCTAAAAACCTGAAAATTTATTACTGTTTCTTCATTATTAAAAAAAAAAAAAGTGTTTAAAAGTAATCAGTAAAATGTCTTAAACTACAAAAAGAGAGCTGAAAGTTTGACTGTCCAGTGGCAATTGCTTCTGAAACAATCTATCCAAAAATTGTAATTTGGCAAAATTTTCTTGGTGTTGGTAATTTTATGTTAACCTGTAAAATGACACAAATGCTAGAGCAGAGGCTGTGCTACCAAAAGGATACTGATATTTCAAATGTGTTCAAAGAGGTTAAAGGGGGGGGGGAGGGGAAAGGAAAATTTTATTTTTACATTCCCTCTTCTTCCCACCTCTTCCCCCCAAGTTAGGTAATTGAGGGTTTGAAAAAAAAAAAAAAAAAAGTGACACTGAAATATGTGTACGTGTTTAGCACTAACTGTGAAAGGAGTTAGTGGCATATACAAAATAAAATTTCATGTGTATTAAACTGAAGCAAAACAGGGCTTCAGGAAGAACTGCCGAATGGATCCTTAACTTAGATGTAGATGTCAAAGCTAGAAAGGCAGTGGCAGTCTGCTAGCTACCAGATAGACAAGAGATTCAGAGAATACTAAATATATGCTTTGTTAGCAAGAACTATAGAACATGATGAATTTGAGCTTCCTCTTAAGGAAGATTTTAAATTATTAAGGAAAGTAAGTGGGTGGAAGAAAATCTGTCTTAGAAAAATTAATTGCTGAGAAAATTTGTGAAATTTCCCCTTTTAAATGTTTGATTATGCAGTTTGGCTTCTTGTACTGAAGCATTAATGGCCAGTGAGCATCATCAATAATTTCAGTCAATCTTTGCTCTGTGTGAGTCACTGCAGAGGGTCTGGGCTGGCACCTTCTGAGCCCTGGTCTTCTCCACAGAACTAAAGGGAAGAGCAGCTAGCTGAACATCCAATTTTGTGTTGCTGAGCACTGCTAAAGCTGTTCCCTGATTGTCAGATGTACACCTGCATCAGCCAACTACAAAACTTCAGGATGATTGTGGAGCTGGAAATGCAGGATTACATAGCTTTGGACAATGATTTGGGTTTGAAGGAAACTTAAAGACCATCTAGTTCTGAACCCCTGCCGTGGACAGGGGCACCTCCCACCAGACCAAGCTGCCCAAAGCCCCATCCAGCCTGGCTTTGAGCACCTCCAGGGTTGGGGCAGCCACAGCTTCTCTGGGCAACCTGCTTCAGTGCCTCACCATCCTCATCGTAAAGAACTTCTTCCTAATATCTAATCTAAACATACCCTCTTTTAGTTTAAAACCATTACCTGTTGTCCTATCACTACAATTCCTGATAAAGCATCCCTCCCTCTCTCTTCTGTAAGCCTCCTTTAAGTACTCAAGGCTGCTATCAGGTTCTTCTGGAGCCTTCTCTCCTTCAGGCTGAACAGACCCATCTCTTTCAGCCTGTCTTCATAGGAGTGGTGTTCCAGATCATTCTCATGGCCCTCCTGTGGACTCACTCCAACAGGTCCCTGTCTTTCCTATGCTGGAGCATACTATGCTGTCTTTTCTATGCTGGAGGCCCCACCCTACTCCAGGTGGGGTCTCAGAGAGCAGATGGGGTGAATTACCTCTCTTGACCTGGTGGCCACACTTCTTTCAATGCAGTCCAGGAAACAATTGGGTTTCTGAGCTGCAAGCACACATTGCCATCTCATATTCAGGTTTTCAGCCGCTACTACCCCCAAGTCCTTCTCTGTAGGACTGCTCTCAATCAGCCATCCCCCAGCCTGTGTTCATGTTTGGGGTTGCCCTGACCCAAGTGGAAGACCTTGCACTTGGCCTTGTTGAACTCTCAAGCCTGTCCAGATCCCTCTGGACAGCATCCCTGCCTTGTTTGGTGTCTACTACACCACTCAGCTTGGTGTCATCCACAAACTTTCTGAGGGCGCGCTCAATCCCACTATCCATGTTGCTGACAGATATGTTTAATAATACAGTCCCAATACAGACCCCTGAGAGGCACCACTTATTGCTGGTCTCCACCTGGACATCAAGTCATTGACAGTAACTCTTTGAATGTGACCATCCAAACAATTCCTTAACCACTGAATTGTCCATTTGTCAAATCCATACCTCTCTATTTTAGAGACAAGAATGTTGTATGAGACAATGTCAAATGCTTTGTACAATTTGAGGTGGATGATATCAGTAGCTCTTCCATTAACCCCTAATTCTGTACCCCTGTCGTAGAAGGCCACCAAATTTATCAGGCACAATGTGATCTTAGTGAAGCCATGCTGGCTGTCACCAGTCATCTGTCTGTTTTCCATGTACATTAACATAGTTTCCAGGAGGATCTGCTCCATGAACTTCTTATACAACTACTTTGCTGTTTTCATTTACAGAAGAGCAGCATCTCTCCAAGCCCTTGAATTACGTTAACTAAGGACCCTCTGTACCTAACCTATGTAACCTGTGTACCTTAACTATGTACCTGCTGAGGATAAATTCTGTATCTAGGAAAAATTGGACACAAATTTACATGTATTACAGGGTCATGCCAAGAAGGTGCTAGTATGTGGGTTGTTGTTTTTTTTTGTTTGTTTGGTTGGTTGGTTTTGTGTTTTGTTTGGGCAATTTGTTTTTGCTACTAATGATTAAAAAATAATTTTCATGTAAATGTAAGTCTGATAGTGATTCAGGGTGCCTTTAACAAGCCACACCTTTCATTATGTTTCTGTCTTATGATCGGTAATGCCTGCTTCCCTTCTTTGTGCCAATAAAGTGCTGAATGCTCCATGGGCAATGCTAAGCTTGAATCCAAGTTGTGCAGTAAGGTGCTGGCAGGATTTTTCAGGAAAAGGCAGAGATGGGAAGCATTTACGTTGTCATATCCAGGAAGGAACTGAGAAAATGGTTGGAAAAAATGTGTTTGGGAGCAATCTCATTAAAGTTTCTTTGACCTGCTGGGTGGCCAACAAAAGTTATCTGGCCTGTATTGACCAAGAGCCCAAGTGTGAGGCTGTTACTAGATGTACTGTTTGTTGATATTAGGAGGGTAAAACAAAACAAACAAACAAACAAAAAAAATACAGAACAAGCCCATGCAGGATAACTCTTAAGACAGCATCAGTGGTGAACTGGATCTATAAAAACTGAATTGGATAACAGCACTTTCTGAGATACCAGTATGCTTGTGGTACAAGAACATCCTCTTTAATGATGTTAAGAAGCATAGCTACCATAGATTGATCTGAGGGCCATACTTTACAAAATAAAATGCTAATTTAGATTAGGGTAATGCAATCTATAGATTGAAATGAAATTGAGTTTGAAGAGGCTCCTGCCGTGCCATCTGGATTATAGGAGGGGAGGGTGCTGAGGAACAAGAGAGGTCTGATAGAGCTTTCAGCTCTTGCTGTGTCCCGTAGGTGTTGGAAAGCAACAAGAGCATTTAGGCAGTTTGTAGATTTTACTAAGCATCCCTATTGTCAGTAAAAGATCTTAAAACTGGGATGCAGTTGAGTTGAAGTTGTGCTTTGCTGAGTAACAGCACCTTTCTGTTCTTTTTAATTAACCAAGCATGAGTGTAGGTACAATTGAGTGAAAGCAAATAGGAGCAGATGCATGCAGGTCATAGACAAATTTTAAATTATGCATCTGATACTTATTTTGGTAGCTATGTGAAGTATCTTGTCTCCTGTATGCCGTACTTTCTAATTCAGGGAAGGCTGGTGCAGCTTCACCTTGAGTACTATTTGCAGTACGGGACACTACAGTTTATAAGGACATAAAACTGTGTGTCCAATGGAGACCTACGAAGATGGTGAGGGGTCTGGAGGGCAAGGTGTATGAGTATCAGCTGAGGTCCCTTGGTTTGCTCAGTCCTGAGCAGAGCAGGCTGAGGGGAGGCCTCATGGCGGCCTGCAGCTCCCTCAGGAGGGGAGCGGAGGGGCAGGCGCTGAGCTCTGCTCTCTGGGGACAGCGACAGGACCCGAGGGAACGGCATGGAGCTGGGACAGGGGAGGGTCAGGCTGGGGGTTCGGAAAAGATTCAAGAAGCGTTTGGACAACAGACATATGATCTGATTTTTTGTGTGGTGCTGTGTGGGGCCAAGAATTGGACTAGATGATCCTTATAGTCACTTCCAACTTGGGATATTCTATGATTGTTAGTCCACTGCTGGAAAGGGTGAATTAAACTGGGGAATGGTACAAAACTGAAGCAGAATCTGTTTTTTAGACCTGGAAAAGAAAGCTTATTTAGAAGTAATGGTGCTCTTATATTTTCCAGCCCACCTCCTCATCACTGTAGATCTGACTAAAGTCAAATTCTTTCAGGTTCTGGAAAAGTTTAGGTGAAACCAACTAAATTTGGCAATGATCTGGGACTTTTTCCACAAATGAGCAGACTACAGTATGTATTATTTCTGCTACTTACAGTATTAGTCTGAAAGTCACAAACCACAAATACCACAAGGAAAAAGATGATTGAAAGTTAAGTTTCCTGCCTTGCAGCAGAAGCACCTTCTGTCATAAAATTTGTTTTTTTTTTTTCTAAAATGCGGAGGCTGACTAGTACAAGAACATCCCAATCAATTAGCTTCCTGAATAACATCTTGTGAGAAATCTGCTACCGGAGTTAACGGCAGGCAAGAAGACAAATGCTTCTGTATTTGTTGTGAGATTTGGTAGGGAATGGGGATATTGGCTGCATGCATGCCATATCTTTATTCAAGTATTTACTTGATAGCTCCTTTTAATGGCCATGTTGGGCACTCTGGTGTTTCAGATGCAAAACCTGGTGGAGGTCATGTGTTTCTAAAGGTAAGGTGAAGGATTGATTTAAATAGGATGAAACTTTTGTGCTATGTTAACTTTCTGCCAAGAAATGTCTAACTGTTGCAGTTCTTGAGTAAGAAAGTAAAATCCTGGTTCTACATTTTATGTTCTTCTTTAGCAGCAGTAGATCATGAACAAAGATGTGTATCTTCAGTACCCAGTATAAATATGTGTAAATCCTCTTGAAGAATTGCCTTTTTAGGGTTTGTAGGATCTTCGCTGCTTATCTTGGTTACTATTCAAGAAACTCACAGATCATTTTCATAATAAACTGTTACATAGAGTTAACTTGTCACAATGTGGTGGTAATATTCAATAGCTCATGTGAAATTTAGTGTTTAACTTGATTTCAGAAACTAACTCAAGAGATTAAATGAAATCTTAAATTCTCATGAAGATTTACATTTATTTTCCCAATACTCACAGAACAAAGCTGCAGATCAAGAACCAGCCATGACACAGATGGTTTTAGGAAAGGAAAAACCCACTCTATTACTTTAGACCAAATTCAGTATTTAAATCAAACAATCAAAATCACATGATGTAGATTGAATGAGTTTTGCTTGTATTTTACATCTCTCACCATATCTGTGTTTCTCAATATATTACTGCAAAGTCTGTGGGGTAAGGGATATGCTGAGATAGGAGTGAATCATACACTGCATCATTATCATGTTGGTAGGTATAGTTTTCTTGATGGGAGATGGTACTTGCGAGATGGTATGAGGTCTGCTTTAAATTAATGCAATCTGTGGAGGTTTCCCACAAGATGCAAAGAGTTTGTATCTCAGCAGCATTTTTCCCACCTCATCTTAATTTCAGAGTTCAATTTAGGTAGAAATTACTTGCTTTTGTAGAATGGTTTGGGTTGGAAGGGACCTTAAAGATCATCTAGTTCCAACCCCACTGCCATGGGCAGGGACACCTTCCACTAGACCAGGTTGCTCAAAGCCTCATGCAGTCTGCCCTTGAACACTTCCAGGGATGGGGCATCCACAATTTTAATGTCTTAAGCATCTATAGTAATGCAGTAATTCTATGGATGCACAATTTGTACTAAAGAATAGGCAGTTAAGCCCAGGTGAAATATTTAATTTAAAAATCCTACCTAGAGATACAGATTTGCAGTCCTGCCTGCATGAACTTTGTCAGATGTTTGGATAGAATGGAAAGTATGGTTTGCTTGAAATTAATAATTTTTAAATACTTTTAGCTAATAACTTATTCAACCAGAAAAAAAATCTGTTTCAGGTCATTAGAAAGGTCAGTTTAAAGATACATGTATGTCACAAAATTGTCTAATTTGCAATTTTCAAAGGTTAGTTTTTGGAGGACAAATTGAACTGAGAGTTCAGTTTATCTGCAACCATTAGAAAAAACAGTAAAGTTTTACTCAACTTTATCCTTTCATTTGGAAAAGAGTAATGCATTCTTTTAAATTAATTGTTTAAAAAAATGCCTTGGCATTTTTGATATGGTTGCATCCTGCTTTTCAGTAGATCTCAGGAACTTAGTGTTACCTTACACTTCTGATATTTTGATCAACAGTTCAAATCCAGCCTCTAGTTGAAGATTCTATGTAAATCACTAACCATTTTTGGTTGTTTGAATATTTTTTCCCCATTTATTTCTACATGGTATTGCTACAGTAACTAGCAGCTATGTCATTCTCACTGTCACAAAATATTACTCAGTATTTATTTCCAAATAATGTTGCAAGGCTTACTTTGCTATTCAGAATAGCCCCATGCAGGTCTGCAAAGCCTGTGCCTCTTCTGCTCTGCCTGCCATGAGCCCATAGTTGTACCCACTCCAAGCAGCAGGTGGGTGCCCAAGCTGGGGGCAGAGGTGCAGCAGGGGCTTCACACATCACTTCTACTTGGCACAATGATGAGTCTTTTTATCAATTGTAAAACGTGAGACCTATGCAACTGGACCTGTTTCACCCCCTGCATTCAGGACAATTCCATCAAAAAAAAAAAAAATTCAACAGGAAATGGATGCCACTACTAGCAAAACAGCCTGTAACCTGTTGTTTCCAACAGGAAGGAAGCTGTAGTTGACCTCATGGAAATCAGGTGCTTTTCTTTAGATAGGATGCTGAAAAGGCATGGAAGTGGGAGTATGAGAAGAGAGGGGGATGGAGCTAGCAAAAGAAAACACAGTTGGGAGTTCTTCTAAAATGTGGACAAATATTGAGATGTTGCAGTGGGAATCTAAAGACTTCCTTTAAAGAAAACTAGCAATACAGTTTTCTGTTGTTCTTGCACAGATCTAACCCTGTAGGTAGATGTTCTTATGCTAGAATAAGAACATGCCACTGTGATTAAAGGAGAACTCACCCGTGGTGTGTGTTTTCTCACACAGAAGATTCCTGAGTCAGGTAGTGACTGTAGAAAGGACACCAAGGTTCAAGAATTATGACGATGTGTGAGGGAGGTAACTGAGAGGATGGAGAAGCTGAGGGGTAAGAGGGATTTGCCCTGGCTCAGGGGTGAGGATTTGAATGCTTTTTCTGAACTGCTCGTTTTGTATATATTTTGAGTCTGCTGTGCATGATTTTTCCCTCACCTAATTAGTTCATGTAATCTTCTGAGAACTGTAAATCGATTCTGTAGCAGTGCTTCAGGGAGACAGTGGGTTCTAGAAAAAAATAATGATTAGTCAATCAAACAAACAAAAACATGAAACATACATACTTTCAGAGAAGCCAGTAGCCTCCATGGTTTTGTGCCTCAAGCAAGTCCACGTGTATAATTCCTTGCAAATGACTGCACTAAACAGCATGTTGGAGCTGTAACTGCAAATCCTTTAGCTCTGCAACGTCTCTTGACAGCACTTAAAATGCTGTTCTGTAGGTTACTGTGGTTGCTATGTGGATTGAAACATTTAATGAACAGCTTTGAAGTCACTATTGAAAGCCTGTATTTAGGGAGGGAGCTTGCTATGTAGCAGTGCGGCTGTTAACTCTGAAGATCAGAGTTGAAATGAGTTCAGATCTGGAATACTTGCTGAATACTGAAAGGTGAAAAAAATGACTGTTGTCCTTTACATGGAAGTTCTGTACTTCATTACTCACTCTTCTGCAAACAACCTTTATAAATAAATGTACTTGCAAATGTTTATCTTGCAGAAAGCGTTATGCAGTTTGAAATCAGAAATAACTGTTTCAAGATCTCTTTACTTATTTATTTTTAAGGATTTCTGCAATTTGTCTAGAAAATTCCCACTGTCCTGTAAGCTCTATTCGGACATACACTGCCACTTACATAGATTCAGATAGATTCAAATGTCATTAAACACTAACACTTCTCAGCATGACTCCTAAATCTAGAAGAAAATCTTGTAGTGGAAAAGTCATTTTGTTGAATTTGACACTTGTGAGCATGAGGCATTTTCCTAACATATTAGTATTTTAGAAGGGTGCACTTTCATTGTTTTTAAACAACTCAGAATTTTATATTCTAACATACTAAATTTAACATTGAAATTTGAACAAACAGTTTAGCTTATATTTAGCAGAAGAATCAAAAGTATGTTTTGTGGAATGAAAAACTTTAAAGTGAAAACTTTCCTTGAGAAGTAAAAATGGCTTGTGTAAAGGGCTAATGAGCTAGCACTCTAATTGCAGCCAGCAATGCATCAGCAATGAGTGTATCGATGAACATAAAACATTTTGCATGGTATTTTTCAACAGTTCTGGTATGCAGAACAGTCAGTTCAAATAACTTTCCAAATGGGGGCGGGGGAGAACACCAACTAATTCCATCTGTTACATTTTACTCTGCAAATGAGTTCTTCCAGTGCTGAAAGGTTGGTGGTACTTGATTACCAGGATGTGAGCTGAGCTTTTCAGTAGGGAGTTTGGGCTTTGGCAAAGATCCCTGTGAAAACTGAGAAATACTAAATAATTTAGGCCTTGACTTTCGCTCTGGAGCTGTTTGGTTATTTTTTTTTAATCCTCCTCTTACTTTTGTGTTTGTTGGTTAAACTGGTAGAAAGCTTGTATCTACCAAAATAAGGTGATTATTACAAAATGTGAAACTTGGTTTTCAGATGCTTTTTAGACTCTGAGGTAATCATAGGTAATCACATATGCTTTTGAATATATTTTTTTAAGTATTGTTCTGTTTTCTGCAGTATTCTAAGGGCTCTTCTCTTCTCCCTCAGGAGACAGATGAACAGAAACGTCACAAAATTGCTAGTGAACTTCTGCAAACAGAAAAAGCCTATGTTAGCCGACTTGACCTCCTAGATCAGGTATGTTTCTCTTTAAATTGTTTTTATTTTCTTGCCTTTAATTCACTCGAATGGCTGTGTGTGTGTGTGCATATTACATAAAGGAGGTGATATGCTTTTTATATTTTGCTGACCTTTCCAGTCAGTCATCTGTGGTTGCTGCATAACTTTGTCATTTTTTCTAATTTAAGAACACTGTGTTTTTAAAAAACACTTTAGAATTTTGTGGCTATTAATGCAGTATCTTGTGTGTGCATGTAGACTTCAACATAAGCAGTAGATTTGCAAAATCCGTATTAGCAAATCCAACAAAGGAGATGAATAATGTTGTCCTCATTCATTTCTTGGTTGCTATTGGACAGGAAAGAGTATCATTTTATAAAACCGATATTGTTTGCCCACTAGCATATTACTAAATCTTTCAGGTTTGAGCTGTGTGAACAGCATTTATCTTCAGTGCTGAAGAACATAGGAAGATGCCCATCAAAAACTGTATATGCCCTACTTTTCTATTAAACATTTAGACCAAACTCTGTTAAAATGAACAAAAATTCCTCTTTGTGCAAAGGATGGGTTGAGTTCTTGTGCTCTGTAGAATCAAACTGGTGTTTCTAAATGTGGAAGTCTGGGAGATGTTGTTATGCTTCTAAACAGAGTTAAAAAGTAAGTAACATTTATAGTTTCCAAAAGAATTTTGTCAAATTCTCTAATTGTCCTACTAGAGATGGAGCAAAGTGAGTCTATTTTGAAGTATAAGTGAAAGCATATGGCTTTTTTGTCTTTCTTTTAAGACAGTTTATCTGTCTCTGCTGGGATTATCAAAATTTCTGTCTTCAGACTTTATTTCCCCAAAAACTCATACCTAAGCTTCTGAAGCCCTTTCCAGGCAGATGCAGTCTGTTCCTGTTCACCTGTGGGAGAGAGACATGGACCATACGTTCCTGTAAACACTGGTTCATGTGGTGTGCATATTAACAGCTGCATGTCTCTAGTCAGTTCGTAGCTATGTCTAATCAGATATAGCCCAGTGATGGGGAGATTTTATTACTATTATTTTTAAGAGACTACTGTAGTATTAAATAGCCCAATCAGAACTGCAGTTTTGCGTTATGCACTATAAATGGTATTTGGGGAATATGCAGTCTTCCAGTCAATGTCAATTTTTAAAAGTATAAGGGACTACAGCATACATATAATCATAGAATGGCTTTCAGTTGGAAGAAACCTTAGAGAGCATCTCGTTCCAACCCCCCTGCAATAGACAGGGATGCTACCCACTAGATCAGGTTGCTCAGGGCCTCATCTAACCTGGTCTTGAACACCTCCAGGGATGGGGCATATAGGCGGTTGAGCTAATGGTAATCAGCCATCATGCTCACTGGAGAGAAAATGAGAGTGAACAACACAACTGGAGGACCGGGAAACCTGAGATCTAACTCTTAAAATGTCTAGAATGCTTGGACTCCGACCAGAATGGTTCTACCTTGGTTTGGCTTTCCTTATGTCTGTTCAGCCTGCAGCTCTTTTTCTCTCTCAAAATAAAAAAAAAAAAGGGGGGTGTAAGGGGAGGAGTAGCTTTTAACTTTTGATGAGGGAAAGATAATAATTTTTAGATAATGAAAGATGATAAATTACTTTTGTAATTACCTCCCTATGTTATTGAAATATTGTTCTTGCCCTCATTGGTGTAGAAGAGAGTGGATGAGTCTTCATCCAATGATAAAAGGCTAACAGGTTTTGGGTTCTTCTTCTATATTGCAGGTATTTTATTCCAGACTCCTTGAAGAAGCCAACAAAGGTTCCTTTCCAGCTGAAGTGATTAACAAAATCTTTTCTAATATATCATCAATAAATGCATTCCACAGTAAATTCTTACTTCCAGAACTTGAGAAAAGAATGCAAGAATGGTAAGAGGTGATTCACTGTCTAATAATCTACTGAAATAGCATCGCTAGGAACTGTTACAGGCTTGAAGTAGGGAAGGTGCATTCATAATTAAGTGCTACAGTCCGAGGAAGCTCTGTGGGTAGGAGAACATCTGCTCTTCACTCTTCATCAGGAACTGACTCAGCAGAGGACTTGCATCCCTTGTTCAAACTAAAGGACATCTCACTCACTGAAGCTAGTGAGATTACTAATGATTAAATGCCTTGCTGAATTAGAGGTTCACACTAAAATTATGTGCTACCTGATTAATTCATTGCACATAATAGAAAATTGAGATAAATATGCACATATGACAAAACTGAGATAAATAACATATATATGTTTTGTGCTGCCCTTGTAGCACGGTAATGAAAATAGAATTGTTCAGTTGGAAGGGACCTTCAAAGATCATCTAGTCCAATAGCTTGATCAATTCTATGCTAACCATAAATTAAAGTATATTAATGAGGGCATTATCCCAATGCCTCTTGAACACTGACAGGCACAGGGAATCAACCACCTCTCTTGGAAGTCTGTTACAGTGTTTAACAGCCTTCATGGTAAAGAAAATTTTCCTTATGTACATTATGAACATCCCCTGTTGCAGTTTTGTCCTTTTCCCTTGCATTTTATCATTGGTCTGCAGAACCTTTGCCTGCTTATAGCTTGAATGGGTGTATGCTTTATTGGATAAAAAACTGGCTGGGTGGCTAGGCCCAAAGAGTTGTGGTGAATGGTGTTAAATCCATTTGGCAGCTGGTCACTAGTGACCAGCTAGACCCCCAGGACTCAATACTGGGGCCAGTTCTCTTCAATATCTTTATCAGTGATCTGTACAAGGGGATCAAGTGCACCCTCAGTAAGTTTTCAGATGACACCAAACGAGGCCCAAGTATTGATCTTCATGAGGGCAGGAGGACTCTGCAGAGGGTTATGGATAGGCTGGACCAATGGGTCAAGGCCAACTGTATGGGGTTCAATATGGTTAAGTGCCAGGTCCTGCACCTGGAGCACAACCACCCCATTAAACACTATAGGCTGGGGGGAAAAGTTGCTGGAAGGCTGTCTCATGGAAAAGGATGTGGGGGTTTTGATCGATAGCCAGCTGAATATGAGTCATCAGTGTGCTCAGGTGGTGAAGAAGGCCGATGGTATCCTGGCGTGTATCAGAAATAGTGTGGCCAGCAGGACTAAGGAAGTGTTTGTCCCTCAGTACTCAGCTCTGGTGAGGCCACACCTCAAGTACTGTGTTCAGCTTTGGGGCCCTCAGTACAAGAAAGACATTGAGGCCCTGGAGCATGTCCAGAGAAGCGCTATGAAGCTGGTGAAGGGTCTAGAGAACAAGTCTTATGAGGTGCAGCTGAGTCAAATGGGGTTATTTAGCCTAGAGACAAGGAGGCTCAGGGAAACTTATGACTCTCTACAACTAGCTCAAAGGAGGTTGTAGCAAGATGGAAGTTGGTCTCTTCTCCCAAGCAACAAGCAATAGGACAAGAGGAAATGGCCTCAAGTTGCACAAGGGGAGGTTGGGTTGGATATTATGAAAAATGTCTTCACTGAAAGGGTTGTGAAGCATTGGAACAGGCTGCCCAGAAAAGTGGTTGTGTCACCATCTCTGGAGGTATTTAAAAGACATGTTGATGTGGTGCTTAGGGACATGGTTTAGTGGTAGACAGACTTTGCAGTGCTAGGTTAGTAGTTGGAGTTGATATAGGTCTTTTCCAGCCTAAATGATTCTTTGTACTATTGTGCAGTATCTTTATCTTGTCTTGATGTATGGGATTCTGAAGATGTTATGGAGATGCTCAAATATGTGTATATTTCTGGTCTATCTTATTAAACTGACAAAAAAAAAATAATAATCCAATTTATTGCTGTTCCCTACCCTTTTTGGGAAAAGGGGACACCTCAATAATATACATACATATATATATATATTATTTTGACCCATTGTTTCATTCAGTTGTTTTACCTCAGCACATTTTTGGCTTCTGTTTTGCATGTTATCTGGAGTTTATTCTATTGTTTATTCTACTTGTCTATCCAGATACCCTTTCCAGTTACATATTCGTATAAGATCTTAATTGTCAAAAACTATGAAGATCTTGCTCTAGACACATTATAGAGCACAGGAGATGGGTTGCACTACCTTATGTATTTGCAAAATGCTATATTGCAAATGAATGATGTGTGTATAGTTATATATTTAAGGTTTAAAAGTTCTTTTGCAGATGAGCTATGAATATTGCAATGCAACCTAGTATTTTTGCACCAAGCAACTGCTTGGAAACAATCTCTGTACTGTATGTGAGGCAGCTTGTTTGAATGCCCTTAAAAAATTATGCTTTGGGAAGGAATTAGAAGAAGAATGGGTGCAGCTGAAGACAATGATCTCTCATCATTGCTTGGAGTAGTGTCAGGGATTGTTTTCTCTGCCCATCACCAGGCTCTGAACTTGTCTTCCACAACAGCTTCTGCCAAATACAGTTTGCTTTCCTCAGCAGTCTCTTAATAGAAAATACTGGAAAATTGGTACTTCTATGCACTTCTCCTAAAAATTTCCATTAAAAAAGAAAAGACACTTTTCCTAAATTGCAGTTGGTTTTGAATACTTGAAGTAAAAATGCATGGTTTTTGAAACTGGGAAAGCAGAGCAGAACCAGATTCTGTTTTGGAAGAAAAGGCGATGTGTATCTAAACTTGTCTGGTGGAAATGAAATTGTCTGGTGATGGCATTTTGAAGGAGCTGAGCAACAGCTGGAGTTGACTATCTCTTTTACAACATATGGCTTGAAAACAGTGCAATATAGTTCCCATGAAAAAAAGCGAAACAGAGCATACCAGCAATTTTAAGTCAAAATACCAATCTAAATCCGTCTTTTTGTACCCAATGATGACCAATAGCAGATAGCTGGGGAAGCATATAAGACCATGGTGTGGTATCTTCTGTTTTTGTTTTGTTTCTTTTTTGTTTGTTTGTTTGCTTTTTTATTTTTATTTTTTTATTTTTTTTTCTTTTTGGACAAATTATTCACTCTTTCAACACAAAATTTTAGACTAGCATTCTTGGGCAATTTCAGAGCTGACCTATTCATGTGATTTTGCTTTGAAACTTCAACTTTCAATTTTGTTGGATGCCTGTTAGCTTGTATATCAGAAAAGAGACCAAGCAGTTGTTCTGTAATCACCTTGTCTGTGTTAATTTTTACAGACTTTTGCTTGGCTTCCTTTCAATCGTAACAGTTTTAAATTCAAATCATGATTAGCAAGTCAGCTATTTCATGCTCCAAGTTTCTTAGAATGCTTAGGTGAATACCATTGTGGTCCGATAACACCGAAATAGGAAGTGTTTCTGTACCTACAGAACAATGCTAAGTCCAATTTATTGAGATATATAACAATACCCTCTTTGTTTCCTGGTAACAATGCACTGCTGATTTGGGCCTATGGTAATAGTTCTCTTTTTGCAATCTGTCTATCCACAAAACCAGTAACAGCCCTAGACCTGATGTCATTTAGTATACTTTCCTGTTTTTGCTTATGGTGTGTTGTGTTAAAATATGAGAAGTAGATAGCTATACCTAAAAGCTGATCGTGGGAAGATGCCTTTCTAAGAAGGTTCCGCTTTCTCTGAGTCCCTGTCTTTCAATAGTTCTTTGTGCTATGTGGACCTTGTCTAACTTACCTAAAATAAATAATTTGTTTCCATGGCCTGAATCTTTGGACATAGAAGAAAAAAGTAAAAGTGAAAAGCAGTGAAAATTTTGAATCTTCATAGTCAGTGACAATGCAGTGCTCTGTGTAAATGAGCAGTCATAAGTATCAAAGGAGCAGGCATAGAAAATGGTTCCCACTCTTTGTCTTTTAAAAGTTTTGATATTTTCTTGTAAGGTCTTTCTAGTAATAGGTAAGAAACATGAAGAAGTATTCATTTGTTTTTAAATTGGCCTAGATACAAAGGATTGCCGCGGTCTTTCTGCTTTAAGCTTTTAAAGGCAAAATCTCATCATTACCTACCTGTGAAGTTTAGCATAAAAACCTTTAAGTCTATTGTGTTTTTTATTTTCTTTTACAGGTGACATTTAGAAATGAATTCACATTTATTTCAGCGATGTTAAAATTGACATGATTTGTATTTTATTTTCAGTTTAAAAACATGCTGCTACATTGTGTTAAAATGATAACCTAGAGAAATAGAATTGAGTGAATTTGGTGGCTATTTGTTTTGAATTGCTAGCTTGCATTTGCAAGTGTGCTTGGATATAGAGACTGGTGGAGAAAATACCTGAATAAAGGCTGGAGAGCCTCAGTGATTTCAGAGACTACCTTCTCACCCCATCTTGCCCCCTTCTCTGGTTACAAGGTCCAGTGGTAGCTCTGCCAGGTTTTGCACAGGTTGTGTCTTCTACTTCCCTGAGCACAGCTGCAGCTGGGCTAGTCCTGCCAGTATTTGCTATTCAGGTAACTTTTCCTTGCTGCACAGCTTTTTGCTTGGAACAGTAGTGGTTTTAGAGTAGCTTTAGGAAAAGATTGCTTTACTTCGTGCTACTACTGCACTGTTGATTTCTGACTTTTAGAAACATAGAATTTTACATGTAGAATGGTTAGGGTTGGAAAGGCCCTTAAAGACCAAATTGTTCATCTCCCTTGCCATAGGTAGGGACAACTCCTGCTGGACCAGGTAGCTCAAAGCCCCATCCAAACTGGCCTTGAAGTCTAGAGATACATGCATTCAGGACTTTCAGAAATGCAGTATTTATATAGAGCATGGAAGGAGAGCTCTGTGGTACAGATTTAGTCCTCAAATAAAAGGACTAAATAGCTATTTAGAGGGTAAAGTGTGGTCAAAAGAATATAATGTAGCAGTAAGGAACTACAAATAAAATAGATTAGGCTATGTTTTGTAAACATAGAGTCCCAAGGTTTTCATTATAGAAAGTTTTTCTTTCTTTAGTGCTCTCCATGATCTGTAATGCTTACACATCACCGGAGAGGGTGCAAACAATCCTTTAATTCAGGTCAGTTTTAATGGTTTTGTTGGAACTCTACATGAGATGATCCCAAGCAGAATGATACTCTTCTCTTCAAATACTTGGAACTGTTTGATAACCTTGTGCGACTTTTCTTTCCTGTTTGCTCTGAGATTCTGCCTTCTTACTTTACAGGACTCATACCCCCAGGATTGGAGACATTCTGCAGAAGTTAGCTCCTTTCCTCAAGATGTATGGAGAGTATGTGAAGAATTTTGATAATGCAATGGAATTGGTAAAAACATGGACTGAACGGTCACCTCAGTTCAAATTAATTATTCAAGATATTCAGGTAATGGAAGAATAATGTAGATCTCCAAGTAATACTGGTATATATAAAAATGTATTCGTTTGTGGGTGAGAAAAGTATTAAGTAGAAAATTACATAGTGAATCCTTTAGAACTAAGGGTTACTTTCATCCAGGTTGTGTTGCCTTCTGTTTCTTCTCCTTTTCCCTTCAAGTGTGCACAAACACCCACATAAATCCAGACTTTCCACTGCAGCATAGAGGACCTATGTATAAAGGTTGAAACACGAAAAGACTAAAAAATACTACATTTTGTCATAGACACCAAAAGTAAATAAATAAAATTATGTATTACTACAACTGTAGATCCTTGCACTGAATACATAAACATTCTGTTGGCTCATGCCAGTGCTGTTATGCAGAACAATAAACTTTGGAAGTAAATCTGAAATACTAAAATGCTGAGCCACAAAAGGGAAAGGAAGCTAACAGCAGCACGTAATTCTTCGCAAAAGTGTGTTTTATACCCTATAGTGCTCCCTGTAGGTTTCTGTGTGAATGGCAAGTATGTATCTTCCGCAGACTTTACAGCTAGAAATAGGGTAAGATATTTCTGCTTAAAATTCATTGCAGAGTAGGGCATTCCCATTCTAAGCCAAGGAAGGCAACTGTTTGTACTTCAATGTACTAATTATATACATATTTTATATATATATATATATATATATAAAAATATATATATATAGTTATAACATGTAAAAGTTTGTGGAAACGAGCATATATCTTAAAATGTTTTTTTTGGGGGGTGGGGTGAGGTACATTATGTATAAAACTCAGAGGAAGCATTCTCTCCTCACATAGATAAAATACACTTTATAGCCAATACACTTAATAGACATTTTCTAATAAGTGAACAAGAACTGTTCGTATTAACACAGTAGTCGTTGTCTTGTTCTGAAAGTTATTACAAAACAACATTAAAAGACATTGGAGTTGGAGTTTTTTTTGGTAGGACATTTGTTAATGTATTTTACAGAATACATAGGAAATTTTTACTATTACTTTTAGTAAATAAATTTCCAATTATTTTTTTTGGTAAAGAAGTTTTTGTATTTTCTTTCAGAAGGTCTGTCATGCATGTTTCAAAATATTTTATGTTCTATCAATCATTTTTATTTTACTATGTTCTTGTAAAATAATATTTTTGCCTACTACATTGAAATATGTTTACAATTTTTAGAAGGAAAAAGTGTGTGGAAATTTGACATTGCAACATCACATGCTAGAACCAGTGCAACGCATTCCACGCTATGAGATGCTTCTAAAGGACTACCTAAGGAAATTGCCTCAGGACTCCCTAGACTGGAAAGATGCTGAAAGTAAATATCTTCTAGTCAATAAAATAACTCTGATAAGATATTAACAAGATGATACTGTAAATTAAACCTCTTTTCAGGAAAAATAAACTGAAAAGCAAAACCACTGTGAAAAGAATGATAGAATTTCTTCAGTGGAATTGAAGGATTATTTGGAAAAAAATGTTTGAACAGTGAGTTAAGTTAGCACAAAAACTGTAAAGCCTTTAGTTATTCTAAAAATATGAGTTTAGAGTATTACATAAGTTTTCCTTTACTTTTGGAGTTATGCCTGAGATTTTATTATTTTATTTGCTTCAGGGTTGTTTAGGAGCTGTGTTTTTGTTCTTGTTTGCTGTATTATTTTGACATGTATGTCTCTTATTGGAAAAAAGGGCATTTGTGCTCGTTACTGTATTTATAAGCTCCTGCAAGGAAAAAGAGAAGTTTATTTTCAGTTCTTTTTCCTCTCTACATTTATACAAGAACAGTTCAAGCTATTTTGGCCAATCATTCAAAACTTACATAAAAATTGAAAACATCATTTTGTAGAACGATCCAGTTTTCTGTGTAATATAAAAACATGTAAAAATGCAGCCTTTTGTCTTCATATTTTTTTCTTTCTTTCTTCCATCTAGAATCTCTAGAAATTATATCCACTGCAGCAAGTCACTCAAACAGCGCAATAAGGAAAATGGTAAATGGTCCTTGTTTCCCTGTTCATTTTTTCAAATATTATATTTGAAAACTGAAGCTAGGAGTGTTAATTGCAACTTTTTCCTAAAATTGCAAAAACTGGTTTCATGGGCCCAAGTGATTGCTCCTGCTCAGTGTATTTATGTAGCTTCTTGGAATGATAAACATTTGTCATGGTCCGTAATTTCCACATGTTCCAGGTTGAATTATCTGACAGTCTTGAACTCTTAACCTCGTCTCATCTGTTTCTGTGAGTGGAAGGGTGATTGTAAAGAGTAGTTACTGTTTCTCTACCATATCAGGTTGACATGATTGGTACTCCATTAAGTATTTTGAAATACCTAATTGGTACTTTGAAATTTTGTACAAGCAATTATGCAGGCTCTCTATATATATACCTGTATTTTTAAAGATTATCATGACGTTTCTAAAAGGTGTATCAACTAGGTCAGTCAGTCTAAATGGTTGACCTTATACACCAGGTGTATACATATGTTTATCAAAGCTGACATTCTCCAGACTTACACAAGCCCCTGGCATTAAAATGCATGAAGATCTGTGCTATTATTTAATAAACTTTATAATTGTATTTTCGCTGAAAAGGAAAATCTAAAGAAATTGTTAGAGATATATGAGATGCTGGGAGAAGAGGAAGACATTGTGAACCCTTCCAATGAATTGATAAAAGAAGGACAGATCCTTAAACTCGCTGCTCGCAATACATCTGCTCAAGAACGGCACCTTTTCCTAGTAAGTATAGTGATGTATTTTAGCAGGGGTGGCTGTATGTCTTTCTAGACTTGAAAGAACTGCCAAAGAGAGAAGAAAATCATCTTCTAGTTGATGCCAATGAGTAGCCTTTCTTCTAGTGGTATTCGAACTTGAGTAAAACCTATACTGCTTTGTAGAAAGGCTTGAGAACACTGTTCAGAACAGAACCAGTGCCCAGCAACTCACTTCTAAATACATCTGCTAATCATAAATGCAGGTGCTAGATCATGAGAACTTTGCCATTCTCATAAGACTGAAATGTAGAAGCTTAGGATTTTGATTCTGATAGATTGGAGTCCAAGTATGTCCTCGTGGTCCTGTGGGAACTTATTGTGGCAATTCATCCTCTAGTCAGGTGCCTTATCTTGTCTTAGGTGTAACAAACTACAGCAGTATGCCCTTACAGCTCCCTTGGAAAAGGTTTGAAGTAGTTCTTTGTTTGTGGTCCTCTGGCATTGCATGTCTTCTGGTTTTTAAAGAGCAGTAATGAATTGTTGAGGTACAATTCCTACTTACCTGTGCTTCAAACAAAAGAAGTCATGAAATAGTAAATATCAAATGGGGCTAGACAGCTGATTAAAATGATTTGTGCTTAACATGAGAGGTGACAAGTTTAAAAGGGTTTTAAATGAGGTGAGTTTATCTTTTTTCCCCTCACATTTTCTCAATATTAATTATTAAAATGTGAGAATATTAAATTCTATAGAGCTAATTTAAGAACTGGGCTTCTAGGCTGGCACTTCAGACATTTAAGTAAAATTTAAATGTTCTATTTAATAGGGAATATATCATTATACTGCTCAGTTGTTTTTTTTTCCTGTGATATTGAGAGTTTCAGTGAATAAAAGCAGAGTGCTCATTCTTCTTGGAGAAAAGACGAAGATTCTTGTCAAATATATTAGTTACAATTTATACAAAACTAAATAGGTTTGGTACAGGGTCTATATAAATTTATCCACTGACAAAAAGAATTATGACTGTGCAGTTTAGAATAGTTTCTGTAGAACTGAGGCATGGGAATGATTTTTCTAACAAAAGGTTTAAAATGTTACAAAATATCCTTTGGAGCATAGTTATGATAAAGGTTATGAAGACTGCTGCATATACAGAGCAATTATTCTTACATGTATATCCATTGAGGCTGGCCTTTAATTTTATTTCTAAATCCCATAAGAAAAAAAATCAGACATTGTCTTGCATTAGATGTTTGGTCTTCCCATATGTCAACTAAACAGAAAGGAACCTGCTTTCTCACCGACTGAGTTCAGCTTTGTGATATTGTCCAGATCTCAGTAGAAACTGGCTGTCATCTGTGTTTTCATTAATGCAAAGCAACGTGTGTTCTTTTGTTGTTGTTTTTTTTTTTTTTTTTTTCCCCAGTTTAACAATATGTTGCTCTACTGCGTCCCCAAATTCAGCTTGGTAGGATCAAAGTTCTCAGTTCGAACCCGAGTTGGCATAGATGGTATGAAGATTATAGAAACTCATAACTGAAGAATACCCACATACTTTTCAAGTGTCTGGAAAAGAGCGAACACTGGAGTTGCAGGCCAGGTAAGAGAAGTCTCTTATCTTTTTATGGAGTATTAAATATACACATGCAAAAGAATGGAGTGATGTATTTGGAGAAAGATGGACTGGGCTTAATCTTAGTATTAGTGTTTTGAAAATAACCTAGGCAGAAAGCGTAAATTATCAGTCTAAGAATCTCTTGGAATATAAGATGTATCTACAAAGTATAGTTCTTTATCTTTCTTTGTTGAAATATCTAAGGTAGTTGTGAGTGGGCTACCTGGAAAATTGAGATCAGTGTATCTAACTAATGCAAAGGCAATCTGTCTGGCTTCATTGAGTATTGTGAGATGCTGAGTCATGGGCAGTGCTGCTACCTAAAACACCTTGGTACAAATGGATCTGTTCACCTCTGGATGTGTCCACCCAACAAAACTCTTCACTCTGGTAGGGATATGTCTCCAGAATGTAGTTCTCTACAGCAGTAGATGGGCACTTGCTTTTCCTCAATCATTTTTCCAGTATATATTTTTCCAGCTTGTTTTCCTCTAATCCCCTCACCTTATAAGGCAAGTTCTTTTAGTTCTTGGGTCCTTTTCTTCCAGTAGCACTCTTCTGAATGGTATTTTCTGAGTTCTTTATTAGTCCTCTTGTCCACCTCTTCATGGGGGTTACCTCCCTACTACTACTTTTTGCATTGCCTAGACTAAACTTCCCCTGTCTAGGTTACCTGACTTCAAATAAAGTGGAGTGCATTTTTACATCTACCTTCCGTGTTGGAGCTGCTTGAAGATCCTATTCTTAGCAGTTAGGATGTCATTGCAGAGAGACAAGGATTAAAGAAGTAGGAAGATGCCTGTGGAGTTTACAGCTGTGTGTCAACACCATGTATTTGGGGACAAACCCTAGCTTGCTATTAAACTAAAGCTTGCAAGCTACTTTTCTTGATGAAAAATTACATAGCAATGAATGCAGAAATATAACAGCAAACAGCAATTTACTTACACTGTAATTTAATTAGAAATCCAATGCAATAGAAATATGCAATTTGGAAAATGACAGCAAAAAGCTTTCCATTCAAAGCTGCAAGACTTCTGGGATATGTTTTTTGCTATCAATCCCATCTGCTGTAAATTGCTGCATGCTATTTTGCTAAATATTTGGCAAGCTTTTATGCCACACATCCATTTCAGTGGTGAAAGATTGCATCTTGTTGTACCATTTGTGAAGTACTTTTTAATTGGAAGAAAAAAAGCTACAACAAAGTAAGTTTATTTTGGTAACCTTTCCAAATTATCAGTAATCTAATTTATTGTATTCATTTATTTTAAGTGTGGTAAGATCCTGTTTTTGTTTTGCTTTATGAATATTTTTAGAATTCATTGTACAAAATGATGAAGGTATAAATACCAACTGAAGTCTTATTAGAGTAGATTAGATTATTCAAGTCTTGATTAATGCATGAGTATTTTATGTACCCTGTGCTTTAATGTCCCAAATTCATGAGCTTCTATTAACTTCATTGTAATGTTTAGTTTACTCTTAAGGGTTTCTTTACTAGTATACTTCTATTTATTTTTCAGAATACTATTTGAGTACATTTTCAATCAGTGGTTTTAAAAAGCTGATAAATTATTTCTTTGAGAGGTTGCTTATCTGGTATGATATTTAATAGCTTGGATTTTGTGTTTTAATGTAAGCAGGTAAGGAGAACTACTTTGGCTGTGTAGACAGTTTTTTTGCCTCATGTACAGATGGTAGGTGGGAAGGGGAAACACTTGTAAAGCAAGTAGAATCCTAGACAAGTTGCAGTAATTTTGCAAAACAACATGTGAGGAGTCATTTTTATTGAGATATTGTAAAAGTTGTCTTTCACATCCTTTGTAGCAATCCATAGCAAAATACAATTCTGCATGTCAGATAGCGTATGGCTACAGAAGTATTTTTTCCACATTTTTACCCAGGGAGACTGCCACTTTCAAACAGCCAGATATATTCTGGTACTGATTTTCATCTTTCTGACTTAAAATCTACAGATAAACAGAATTCCTTACCAGCACTGGCCAGTAGTTTCTAACAGTGCTGACACTTGTGAAATAAGATGCCTTTCTAAAGATTTAAATGTTGAAGTCCTACTGGTGTATTTTAAAGAGAAAATACTGGTGTATTTTAAAGAGAAAATACTGGTGTATTTTAAAGAGAAAGCTATTGTACAAGATCAGAGTTCAAAATATTTCCTTTATCATATCTGTCTTACGTATCTCATCTGTACTTACTGTAAAGTCATCTGAAGTCCACCCTAATGTATAATAGTATTAAAGCAGAGTTCTCCTTTTGTTTAAATTGGATACTTTTCTTGCCACTGTATATAGTTTTAAACAGACCAAAACAGTAAGGAAATTATTTGGGGGTAAGGGAGGGAGTAAGACTTAAGAGATATGTACAAAAAATATATGCTAGTATGTGAACTTAGTGCATGAAATGAGAGAAGAAAAAAACATGTACAGCTAAATTTTCCATTCTCATCTTTTCCTTTCTATCCTGTTCTTGGGGGGGTGGGGGGAAGTGTAACAATGAAAATACTATTACTACTTTGCAATGTATTTACATTTGTCTTTGAACTTGAATTTAGTGCTTAGTAGTTGAAGCCTGCTGCGGCCTGAAGTCATGCTTTTTGTTGTTATTCTGTTTTTGTTTTGTTTTGGTTGGTCAGTTAATGATTGGTATTGTCTTTTTCTGAGTTTATGAGAATTACTTCACAACGTTGACTTTTGCAGGAAGTTGTTGATAGTGAGATTATATTTCCTGAACTAGCTTTGGACTAATATGTCAAATATTTCTTTTAGTTCTGAACAAGATAAGGAAGAATGGATAAAGGTAAATTCATCTACATTCTTTATTTCTTTAAATGTATTTTCACTGAAGCAATCAAAAGAGCAATATCCACATATTCTGGCTATAGCTTCCCTCTGCTAATCAATAAATGGTCAGAATGCAGAGAGTCCGTTCTAAGTGTAGTATGTTTGAGGAGGTTTTCCATTGTTTCCCTAGGCGCTTCAGAGTACTATAGAAGCTTTTCAGCAGCGGAATGAAACTTTCAGGAGTGCTATTGCTAAGGAATATGAAGACACGCATGTAGAGGTTTCTGTAAGTTGCTTTTATTCCTTTGTAACCCTCTTAGTAGCCATTTTGTTCATTAGTAACTGAAAAAAAGTTTGGCAGAAACTTTGTTTTCAAGCTAATCATTCTTAAAGCAGAGGAATTACAAAGTAGTCATTGGTAATTGTTGGTAATTGTTTTTCTTCATAATGCCAAATCTTATAAATGAGCTTCTTTTTTTTTCTTGAAATGTGTAACAGAGCTCCCTTTCATTCATGCATAATCATTTTTGACTGGGTTCTTTGTTATTTCTTGTATAGATTTCAAAATGCATCTAGAGCTGTCTTGTGCCATTTCCTTTCCAGAGGAAGAGCATAATTATTTTATAAATAATTATTTATCTCAATTTGAAGTACTGCACAAATAGCTGTTCTTATCCTCCCTCTACCCCTGTCAGAATGCTGAGCTTGGGAAGAGAGCACCAAGGTGGATCCGAGACAATGAAGTCACCATGTGCATGAAATGCAAGGAGCCCTTCAATGCACTGACGAGAAGGCGGCACCACTGTCGAGCATGTGGACATGTAAGTGCAAAACCCAAGCTGCTGTAGCTGGTGAGCAGGTTGGGAAATGGGTCTAAGCACCTAGTTGACTTCAGGTGGCTGCTTATGAGGCTGCAGTTTGTTGCTGTGCTTGTGGCTGAAAGCAGAAACTGTGGACAGCACACCACAAAGGATCCTCGGTCTGGTTTAGTTGGCATAATTTTGGAAGTAAGTTGCAGCAGAGAAGGTGCACATTTGTGTAAAACACCCCAAGTACCTGGACAGACTTTGCTGTTACTTCTGAGTGGCTTCAACTGATCTCAACAGGTTCAAGACCACATTTAACTAGCGTAAGCCAGCATTATCTCTGGCAGCATTGGCTGCTTCCTGATCCCATTCTGCTACCTCCTCTCTCCTCTTTGCAAGCAGACCATGAAGCCATGCAGTTAAAACATTTTCATTGGGTTATCTTGGAACTGTTCCCAGATAGGTTCACTGTGCAATTATGTGAACAGGCCTAAGGTATTAGAGAAGGAGAGAAGGTTAGGATGAGGAGAGAGTATTACTGCTGCTTTCCATGTGTGATACTACATTAGTGCATTAGTGTATGTCACTTTAAAGTGACCGTGTAATAGTGGTGTGACTTAAGTCTTTTCAGAAGTTAATAAAGAAACAAACATACTGTGCTTCCTTTTCTTGACATCCAACAACTATACCTTTCTCCAGTAGATGGTGGTGCAAACCCAGGTTTAATTTTTTCTTGCAGGTTGTCCTGTATGACTTCTATGTAGGGTTTGTATGTGGTGTGAAGGTTTACTGCATTCACAACTCTGCTTCAGTGCTTTGCAGGACACTAAAGGCTTTTTTTAGAAGCTCTGAATTATTTGTTATACAGTTGTTACCTGTTTTGTTTGTTTCCCAGATTTTTCTACCTTAAAATGCCTTCATTAATCTTAAGATCACACCTTTCCCCTTTTTTCCCTTTTTCAAATATGGACTTCTTTTTACTTCTGTTGGAGTGGCACAAATTTAGAAAATTATTATTTTCAGTTAAGCTATTGTTGACATACTAGTCAGACGTTATCTTTTTTTTTTTTTTGTATAATTGGACAATACATTACTATTATATATAATATTTCAAAATTAAATTGGTTTTTGTGAAGTTTTGTAAATACTTAAAATTTATATGTTTGTAAATCTTTTTTTGTTTTTAAGGTGGTTTGCTGGAAATGTTCTGATTATAAGGCACATCTTGAGTATGATGGCAATAAATTGAACAAAGTTTGTAAGGACTGCTATCATGTTATAACTGGTTGTACAGATAGCGAAGAAAAGAAGAAGAAAGGCATCTTGGAGGTATGTCATTTAAAGAATACCATATGAGCATAGTTGCTAGTAGTTTGGGCTCATCACTAGGTGAGAAAATGGTAGCATTCTTGTGGGGCTTTTTTGTGTTTGGGGGAAATAAAAGGAGCATGGATCAAATTCATCCCATCTGATGGGGGAAGAGGGGGGCAGAAATGATGTAAAGGAAGTAATAAAACATAATCATTTTGTGTTCTTCTCAGGATCACTGTTTAACTCCAGAAGCATGCCATTCAGTCTCCAGATCTTAAGCAATTCACCTAATGTTCTGTCTAGAATTAATACTTGTGTTCTTACTTTATCCTTAGAATGTCTTTGCATTGGATCCTGTCATAGTATTTTGACACTAAAATAGAGTGGTTGTCATGTTGGATAGCTGATAGCATTTCAATGCCTGACTTGATGTTACCTTAGCAGTAAAACATTGCTGTAGATGTAAAGACACAGAGAAAGGCTAGCCGTGGTGGGAAAAGTGAGATTTAGAGACATCTAGAAGCATATAATCTCAAACTACCAGTGAAAGAAAGAACAGATTACACATGTGTAAGAGAACACATTGTGACGTTATGAATGTAATATATAAATATTCTCCATAAATACAGTCATTCATGATTTTATTTGCTCAAGTTCTTTTGCATGCATTATCCAAGACTTGTCATGAATGGTGGTGTATTTCAGGCTTTCTGGTCTTATACGTTTTAGCCTTTGTTTAAGGAAAGCTTATTTTCCTTTTTATGCTTTATACCATCTCCTAGATTGAATCTGCTGAAGTCTCTGGAAATAGTGTCATATGTAGCTTTCTTCAGTACATGGAAAAATCAAAGCCCTGGCAGAAAGCATGGTGTGTTATACCTAAACAAGAGGCTGTTGTGCTGTACATGTATGGTGCTCCACAGGTATGCCATGAGGAAATGTATAGTGAATGAAAGGCAACAAGCAGATTAATTGCTTGTTCTTAATCAGGAATTTCTCCTTCGTAGGATGTTAAGGCTCTGGCTACAATTCCACTTCTGGGCTATGTAGTAGATGACACCCCAAAAAGTGCTGACCTCCCACACAGCTTCAAACTGACCCAGTCGAAGTCTGTGCACAGTTTTGCTGCAGACAATGAGGAACTAAAACAGAAATGGTTGAAAGTTATCCACTTAGCAGTCAAAGGTGAGACACCAGAATGTCAAAATGAACTGCAAGTAAGTTTAGAAGAACAACCTGAATCTTCTAAAGTGTCGGAATGCTGAAGCTGAAGAACACGTGATATTTTTAAGATTTCAATTGAATTTGTGGTTAACCTTTTGGCTAACCTTCCTTTGCTCAATCAAAAAAAAAAAAAAAAAGAAAAAATCTTACTACCGTACACATCTTAGCACTTTATGTTTGGGAAAAATTCTGGTCTTTCTAGGGATCTTTTTCTTATATTTATGTTTTGTCAATGAAAGTGATGTACAGGTCCATTTCAGAGACTTTTTAAAAATGTGAATGCTATTAAAAATACCTACTAACTTTACTGTACTACTTGTTCGTTGTTATGCATTTTTTTTGAAAATTGCTATTTGGTTCACGTTTGCTACTTTCTTTAAGAATACAAATATTGAAGCTTCTTACTTATATATTAGGACTCTCAACAGGATAAAAGATATACCTCCACATTTCCCAAATAGATCTGTAGTTAAAAATATACAGGGATAGTTTGGTTTAATGTATGTAGTTTATAGATCAAATTCCACAGTTCTGTACATATGTTGTATTCATTTGTTTCTTTTTAATTAAAGTAATGCAAATTGCTTTTACAGGTATATTGGCTTTTAAAGTTTCAATTTATCGAGGAGATAACCTAATGATTTTCAATCTAGAAATGAGTACCTAAAATATGATAAAACATATAATATATGTACAGTATTAAAAATGTACAATACTTGATTTTTGCTTTGATTTCATGAGACTGGGTTCCTGTTAGTGAATAATTTATTTAAAAAGCATGTTTTCTATTTGAAATTAAACACAGTCCTAAATGAACAAATACTGTTCAGTGATTTGTTTTAATAGCTGACACTTAATGATCTTGGTATTTTTATGCATTAAAAAAAATAGCAGTAACATAAGTGGCATGCAGTGGACAAATAAGTTCCAGTTGTGTTTAAAGGAGTAGTAGCTTTTCTTCAGTGTCCTACCACTGTAACCTTTCAAGAGTGCAGTAGTTCGTTACTAAAATGCAGTGTGTGGTTTGAGATAAGTAACAGATTCTGTTAATCTTCTGGAAATTTGTATTTTCACTATTACGGTTATTGGAACAAATGAACATTTTGAACCTAAATACCCTAATTGTTGCAGAAGATAGATACTGTAATACTTATTTAAGACAACAGTCTTTAAGGATTTCTATTGTAGTGTGGAGCCTGCTTTATATGCATTTAGTATGAAGTCTGAACCTGCAAATCTCAAGCTGCATTAATTGAAATTATTTGCATTCCACTTAAAGGAATTAGGACTTGTGGGCTTTACAATGCTAAGTCTATTATGAACTTCCATTTTTATGAGGGTTTTTTAACCCATAGAGGCAAATGACCACATTATTTTTTTTCTGGAACATCCTTGGATGGAAATATGGTAAATATGGAGGTGTAGTGATTGACTATCAAGTAGATAAAATCATTGCCATCATTCCCTTTCTGACTCCTCAAAGGAAGGGAAATATGAAACTTCTACAATCAACATCTCATGCGAATGTGCAGGAGTCTTCTCAATATAACTGCAATCTGTGTTTTCAATCATGTCAGTGTGAAGAGCTCAGGCTCAAGTCCAGTTTTGTTAGTAACATGAGGACAGATTTTTTGTAATGAGATTTCCAAACAAAATATTCACTGAAGTCCCACTTCACTCATTTTTTTGCAACATGAGAAATAAATGCTCATTTTAGTTAGCATTTAACGAAGAAAGGATTGTTAAACTGTTTTTTTTTTAGCATTATGCATGCATGAGTACGTGATGTCTGCCACTTTTCAGTGAGAAGAATGTCACAACTTCATTTTAATGGCCTGTATTTTGCTCTCACCTGCACAAATCCAAAATTTATGATGGCCTTTAGACTTCAAAGCTTTACACTAGTGTTGGTAATAATCAGGACACGGCATTGCAGAGTACTAACTCTACAGCTGATTTTGTACATGTCAGTTCTGAATTCTTCCTTGGGTGCTCTATGTGTCCAGATTACTTTGTGTATAACCCTAGTATCACTTTTATCTGATGTGCAGGCTCTGCTACAGTTCTTTAAGAGATCTGAAGTTACTTCTACTGCCAGCTGTATTTACCTTTAGTTATGGTCAGCGTAAGGTGTTTATGATTCATGTTGGCAAGTTCCATCAGATCTTCACCTAGGTGTCCCTAGCTAGTACAATGTATCTTGGCAAGGGATAGAGTAACATTTGGATAGGCAAGAAGAACTCTTCCTGGGTAATTTTCTCTCCATGGTCTGCAAAAGTGGGTATCTTCTGAAAGAATCTGCAGTGTGCTTGTGGGATCTGGAAGGTTGTCTCATTACAACCTAACATACTAAAAACATTACCTCCTATGTTCAAGTTGTTGACTGTGAGGGGAGAAGTTGTCTGAGAGGAGACTGTAGATAAGATGGACTGAGTTGTACTCAAAATAATATGGTGGTATGGTTGCTGTCATTTAGTACATTCTGTTTTCTAAGCTCTTGAAAATTTAATTCTGTACTAAGTAGGAAGACCTTTTTCAGGCTAAATGATTATGAAAATGATTACTAAATGATTAGAAGCAGTAATTTCTGAGCTGCTTTATTATTATAGTGGTATTGACTATCTGAAGCTGCTTGAATGGTTTCAGCAAATCCCAGAAGCAGCTCTCCATGTGGACGTAAACAATGTGGAATTAAATTATCGTTACGAGTTATTTATTTGGACGTTGGCCTCATGTTTGTTTTCGGCAATTAAAGTTTATGTATAGTGGGATACTTTATTTACTCCAGAAAAAAATCATTCATGTTCTCTTAGTTGGTTGGTCAGAATTGTTCTCTTCTGAGTCAGGATGTAATGGCACTCAAACATGTGGTTCTCTGTGTATCTTGTAGGAACAATATGTACCACCAATATTAAAGATCAAAAGATGGAGAAGTTGCTTGTAGATTTAACCACCCTGACAGTTAGTCCATTCTTCACAGATGACCCCCCCCCCCCCCCCAAAAAAAAAATAGCATCCAAAGCTTTTTCTTTAAAAAAAGAGTATTTATTAACATAAACCTATGCTTATAAGGAAATAAAGAAATAAAAAAAATAATTTAAAAAAACTATAATTGTGCATTCATTCACAATACATGAATGTTTGTGAGTGGCTCTGCTGCTTTATTTCAATTTTGTGATTCTTGTGTTCAAGAAATGCTTGTTTCTCAGTTTAAAAGTGGTAAGCCTACAGCACAATTTAAAGTGAATCAAGCAATACTATGTGCTTTTGTCTGTGTTCGTCCAAAACAATAGCTTCATTTTATCATTATGTTTGTTTGAAACATAAGAATATATTTTTAAAAAGAGTTATTTCCACCCCTATTATGGAAAAATAGTGTATTGTGATGTCTGTATGTCTGCACCATTCTTCCAGGTCCCTTAAAAATTGTTTTCAGGCATCAGGTTGGTTTCAGGCATCATGCTTGGTTGAAGAGCTACTGTAAAATCTATAGCATCTATTACCTCCAAATCCCTTTACAGTTTGTTTATTCTAAAAGGTACTCAATTTTTATGTGCAAAGCAGATATTGAGGACAGGAAACGTTATCTTCTATTTGGAGTAGAATATTAAACCATTTAAATGCATGTAATATAGTGGCACCTTTTTATGCAAAACCATCTTCAAGTGCTTTATAAATCTCCTCAAAGATTATAAATCCCTTTTATATAAAAGGGTTTTTATTCCTCATATTTTTAAAACGTGGATGAAGCTGAGCATTGATTTAAATGTAGAATAAATACACTACCACCTGCATAAGTTTTAGATTAGGTTATAAAATAGATGTATGTTCTAAACAGTTACAAGAGGAGTCAGGAGAAAAAAGAAATATATATAAATATATATATATATAATGAGTGCTAAAGTTGTGGAAACACCTGACAAGTTCTTTGGGGTTTGTTGTATTTATTTATTTATTTTTAATATATTTCCAGCCATACAGCTAGTTATAAAAATTGGCCAGCTTTTCATTTCATGGTTAAATAAAATGAACAATGGGTAGAGGTTCCTTATACTGAAGAAAAAGGCTTTCAAGAAAAACAAACAAACAAACATTCCATGTAGAAATAATTCTAAGCAGTAAAAAAGGAGCTTTCTCCATAAATATATTTAGAAATCTTTAGATGGTATAAACTATCATACATTTGCTGGGGCTATTATACCTGCAGTGATTTAAATTCATGTAGAATCTGCCTTACATTATATAAAGACACCAGTGGCAAATGAAGATTTTTCCACTTAGAGTACTGCTGATTTACTGCGTCCCATCTGGAATCACAGTGCTCAGCTGAACCTCAGAGCAGTTTCACGAGGAGATAGTTGATGTGGGTGGGAGTGGGCATAAACAGCTGGAAACAATCTGAAAGTAAGTGATCAGGGATGAGACATAATTTTGTGGAAGAACTGACTGTCCTTAAGATAAATCTGTTGGTGAAAGGGGGATCAGTCTTAGACTGTGATTTGATTTGAAATCTGAAACAAAATATGTGGAGTTATGTTTTTTCCTCAGTCTGTGGCCCTGTTGGTATGCGGAATGTACCTACCTAGATGGTTCTGACCCATAGGACTGTAGTGAAGCACGTTCCTTGGACAGGAGTTTTAATCTGCTAATCAGGTTGTTTCCTAAATCCTTGTCCCTTAACGGAACAAAATAGTAACTTAATGATTATATATTTATATGTGTGTGTATATATATATATACACACATTTATCTGTGTGTATATGTATATATGTGTGTGTGTATGAGACTATTATTCAAATGACCTATTTCAAGCAGTATTTTACAGTCAAAAATATACTGTACTGCATTCAAAGTATAATCTATATTGACTGTGTTGAGTATACTATTCAGGAGAAAAAAAAAACAACAGAACTAGATCTATTTTTGTGGCATGTTCACTGTTTCAGACTAATTAAAAGCAAACCAAAATAAAGTAAATTCAATAAGGTGTTCCATCTGCTTCCTCTAGAACCTAGTGATGAAATTTATTCCCAAATTCATCCATGGCACTTTTGCTTCCATCCTTTCTTCCTTACACAAGTGAATGTAGAATGATTTTTTATCTAATAAAATTTCAGCAGATTTCTATTCATAAAACATATTTTCAGCCACTACATAACACCAACCTACTTCATTTTATACTTCATCCTTTGTAGATTCTTAACTGTGGTGAAAATATTCAGAAAGGGGGGTGGGGGGGAGCTGTGTGAAAGCATTTTTGCATGCATATGGCCTAATATTTTTACAAGAGAAGACAGATTTGTTTCATATAAGGAACTGTTTGCAGTAGAAGTATTGGTTGCTGTTTTTTGTTTTTTTTTTTTTTTTTTGTTTGTTTTTGTTTTTTTTTTCTCCTGTCTCTATTATTTCTGTAGTATGCTCTCTATTCTGCAGCCCTCAGAGCAGATTAATACATTAATTTTAGTGGAAGCTGGATCAGCTGTAATGTGACATCAGAATTACAGGCTATGCACTGTAATTCCTTTACATTGTGGGGGAAAAAAAAATGGTTTTAATTAAGAAAACAGATTTTTTTGTTTGTAAAAATACTAATATTTGGAAGAGGTGTAAATTTGTTCTGGTTTTTCAATAAACTGAAGAATATTTAAAAGGTGAAATTTAAATGCCATTCTAAGTTGTGCAAGTGTAAGTGGTCATTTTTATGGTAAAAAAAAATACATGAATGTAAAATAGTTGCAGATATTGTACATATTTTCTGTAATATATGTATATTTGGTTTTAAGGTGGGTGGAGAATTGTAAAAATGAAGCACTTTAATTCCTGTTGAGTACTTAAAACAAGAAAAGAAATTTGTATCCTGTAAAATAAAAACATCATTAAATAATTATTGCGGGCTGGTTATTTTTGTTGTTGTCTGGTTTGGTTTTCCTTGGGTGGGGAGAGGGAGCTTTGTTGTTTCTTTCTGCAACAATTAGCACCTGGCTAATTAGGCACCTGCAGCCAGGGAGCAGCTTCCAGCAGAAATCAGAAGCAGAGGACAGCCCCATAGGGCTGAGAGCAAATGGGCCCAAACTCAGCAAAACGTATCAAAGGAGGGTCTTTGGGGGTCTGCCCCACATACCTCCAGGTGCTGCTCCAGCCCCTGGGACCCCCGGGGTTATGGGGCTGGGGACATCTGGATGCTTCTCCATTAATGTGTCACGGTGGGGAGGATGAAATTGAGAACAAAGCGTGCAATTGTGGAAGAAACAAAACCTACGGGGCTTGGGGTGAATGTGTGCCAGAAGCTGCCCATACGTAAGAAACTGCTGCTGCCATGGGATCAGCACAGCACGCTTCCCTCTTGCCCCAGACTGCACTCTCCAGAAGATTTTTGGGAAGTCGCTTGGTTCACACCATACTTCAGGTTCTTATTTGTAACAGAAGGACTCTCAGTTTCTAAAGCAGGGGGGTTATGAGGAGAAGAGGGCGGTGAAGCGGGAGGAGAGTGGGGGGTGGCGGCCCCTCTTCTCCATCATGAGGGGGTTGAGGGGAAAAGCGAGGGGAAATGGCAACATTGGGGTGTGGTTGGGCCTTGGGATGCAGGACCTATACCTCCTGCCAGGAATAAATGTCCCAGGAGAGCAAAGGGTGCAGTCGTGAGGTGTTTGGACTAGAGGGAATGGCCTCAAGTTGCACCAGGGGAGGTTCAGGCTGGCAATGAGGAGACATTTCTCCTCAGAAAGAGCAGTCAGGCATTGGGACAGGTTGCCCACGGAGGTGCTGGAGTCACCGTCCCTGGGGGTGTTCAATAAAAGCTTGGATGTGGAGCTTAGGGACGTGGTTTTGTGGGTAACATTGGTGGTATGGGGATGATTGGGCCAGATGATCTTGGAGGTCTTTTCCAGCCTTAATTTTGCAATGATGCTATGAAGATAAAGTGATGGAAGCATGGATCTGTGAGAGCTGCTCCTCCTACTTGGGCTCTTCCCAGGGTGAAGCTGCTCTGACAGCAGCACCCTGTAGCTGTACCAGCACCCAGGGATGCACTGCTGCGTTGGTGTGAGGGCCCTCACCCAAACGGGTGCAAGTTTCTGGAGACTGAGGCTAAAAAGAAATGAGATGTGCAGGGCATCCACGCACTAAACAACAAAAGTGATGGGAACCAGGGACCTGGCTGGTAAAGCATTAGCTCAAGCTGCTCAGGACAGCACTCATCTTGTACCCACTCTGAGCTAACACAGGAGCACAACTCTCCGCAGGGGAGTCGGTGCTTGAGAGGAGTTTGGAAGGACTCCTGCAAAAAGGACAAAGCAATGAGCAGGGATTGGCACAGGGATCTGAGCACTGCTGCTGTCCCTCAACAGCCAGAGGTGCTGGTAGAGCAGCACCTGAAAAATACGAGGGGTGGTTGAAGCATTGCAACCATCTTTAGGGGGTGACTGGCTTCAGTCCACATCCACACTCAGCACTCCCGAGTGGATTACAGCAGCTGAGCCGCTTTGGCCCCTGGTGCCTTCATGCTGGGTGCAGTGAACATTTGGCTCATTTTTCCTTGCTGTAACACAGGAGAAAGACCCTGACGGTGGGGATGAAGGAGCTCTGGAGCAGATGGCATCACAACGGCATGGACACACTCCTCCTCCTCTTCCTCCACAGAGCTTTTTGGGGCAAATGAACACTTCTTGGCCAGGGGAGCTGGAGGTAAAGTCAGAATCATAGAATCATAGGTTGAAAAGGACCTTAAAGATCATCTAGTTTCAACCCCCCTGCTCCAGGCAGGGTAGCCAACCACTAGAGCAGGCTGCCCAAAGCCCCATCCAGCCTGGCCTTGAATGCCTCCAGGGATGGGGCATCCACAACCTCCCTGGGCAACCTGTTCCAGTGCCTCACCACCCTTTGAGTGAAAAACTTTCTCCTAACTTCCAATCAAAATCTCCCATCTTAGTTTAAAACCATTCCCCCTTGTCCTAGCACTACCAACACATGTAAAGAGGCATTGCTCCTCCCATTTATATGCTCCCTTCGAGTACTGGAAGACCTCAATGAGGTCTCCCAGGAGCCTTCTCTTCTCCAAGCCCAGTTCCCTCAACCTTTCTGCATAGAAGAGGTGCTCCAGCCCTCTGATCATCTTAGTGGCCCTCCTCTGGACCCATTCCAACCGCTCCACATCCTTCTTGTGCTGGGGGCCCCAGGCCTGCACACAGTATTCCAGGTGGGTTCTCACAAGAGCAGAGCAGAGGTGGACAATCACCGCCCTCTCCCTGCTTGCCACCCCTTTTTTAATGCAGCCCAGGACATAGTTGGCCTTCCGGGCTGCAAGCGCACACTGCTGGCTCATGTCCAGCTTCTCGTCCATCAGGACCCCCAAGTCCTTCTCCACAGGGATACTCTCGAGTTCTTCTTCGCCCAGTCTATATAACTACCTGGGATTGCCCCAGCTCAAGTGCCGCACCTTGCACTTGGCCTTGTTGAACCTCGTTAGGGTCTCATGGGCCCACTTCTCCAGCTTGTCCAGGTTCCTCTGGATGGCTTCCCTTCCCTCTACTGCTTTGACTGCACTGCTCAGCTTGGTGTTATCTGCAAACTTGCTGAGGGTGCACTCAATTCCGTTGTCTATGTCTTTGAGAAAGATGTTGAAGAGCACCAGTCCCAAGACCGACCCCTGAGGGACCAACCTCCACCCAGACGTAGACCCGTTGACCACAATCCTTTGGCTGTGACCAGACAACCAATTCTTTAGCCACCTATCAGTCCATCCTTCAAATTCATACCTCTCCAACTGAGAGAGAAGAATGTGCTGAGGGACCATATCAAAGGTTTTGCTCAAGTCCAGGAAGGTGATATCCATCACCCTTCCTTTGTCCACCGATGCCGTCACTCCATCATAGAAGGCCACCAGATTGGTCAGGCAAGATCTGCCTTTGGTGAAGCCATGCTAGCTGTCTGGGATCACCTCTTTGTCTCGTGCATGCCTTAGCATGTCTTCCAGGAGGGTCTGCTCCATGATCTCCCCAGGCACAGAGGTGAGGCTCACCAGCCTGTAGATCCCTGGGTCTTCCTTTCTCCCTTTCTTCAAAATGGGAATAATGTTTCCCTTTTTCCATGACTGGGGACTTCACCTAACAGCCATGATTTTTCAAATACGATGAAGAGTGGCTCAGCGACCACATCAAAAATCTCTCTCAGCACCCTGGGATGTATACCATCTGTCCCTATGGACTTGTACACATCCAGTTTCTTTAGGTGGTCCGGGACTTCTGCTACTGTCACAGTGGGATGGAATCCACTCCTCTCACCCTCTCCTCGAGGTTCAGTGTCCTGACAGACATAGGAAACGTGACCACCAGTGTAGACTGAGGCAAAGCACTTATTGAGTACCACAGCTTTTTCCATATCAGAAGAAGCCAGTTCTCCCATCTTCTTTATCAGATGGGGAACACTCTCCTTAGCCTGTCACCTCCTGCCTATGTATCTGTAGAACCCCTTCTTGTTATTCTTCACAACCCTTGCCACCTTGCACCTAGGCAGCACTGCTCCTTCCTTTGTGCTCCCGCGGGTGTGAATTGCAGGATGTGGTGACTCTCAACAAATGCTTCCTTTGGTGGTACTTTGAGGTGCATGGGTGTTGGAAAGACGATCTCGGAGAAGCTGCGGGCCATATGCAAAAGCTTTTTGGTGTTTTAGTGAAACTGCTTCCCGTGAGGGGGATTCCTGTCCCAGCACCATCAGTGTATTTAATCCAAACTAACAAAACACAGGATTTGTAAGTTCCTGCGTGGTGCAGGCATGCTGCTGCAGAGCAGTGTGTGGTGGCAGCAGAGCAGGTCAGCCTGGCAGACATTGCTCCTGCAAGGAAAAAACAAAATCTCCCCCTCCTTCCCGTACCACCCCTTCTAATGGCATACATGCAGCCTGGTGGTTTCCCTTCAGACAGACCCAGCAGTCCAGCCGTGACCACAGGGTGGGCATCTTCCAGAGGCTGGTGAAGACCTCCATCATATGCACGCAGCAATGCCTAATCTGCTATCAGATTATACACAACCAACAGAGGAACCAGTTCAAACCCACTACATCCCCCCCCTCACCTCCGTGAAAAGCGTATTTAAGAATAATCACAATATACTCTCACTTTACAACCATCACAATCTTCACAAACTTGCCTGACATCAAAAAGAGAAAAAATTCCCCACACCAACAACATTGTGTAGCAAATTAGAAAGCAGGTATTCTTTATTAACAGCGCCGGGGATGTGGGGGATAATGCCAGGACGTCCCTGGCTCCCAGGGGCAGATCCAGGCCGCGGGCCGCCCTCCTGGCCTGGACCCCAGCCTGGCAGACATTGTTCCTGTCAGCGTGGAGCAGCCATCTCACCTCAGCACTTCCTCACCACAGGCAGGTGCCCTCTGTCAGTGCTGCCATCAGGGGCACCCCGAGACCCTTGTGATGCCACCACAGAGTCACCGTCACCCTGTGACCTCACAAAAGGTGGCAGGCTATAAGAGCCCCAAGCGTCGCGCCTGAGTCCAGTCCGGCTGCTGGTACTCGAGATTTCGAGGTCCCATTGCTGGAAGGCGAGAGGTGGAGGTGTTGCTGGAAGCACACACAAAGCCCTTTTTGTTGCACACGATCCATCGAACTCCTTCGGTAAGGTTATCAAATATATATACGGATACGTACCTCATCTGTCCTAAGTGTAGTCTTGTGAAGCATAACCTATCATGAGCATATTTGCCACTCCAATAGCAATGTTTGTAATCCATACTAAGAATATTCGCTGCTACAGTACTGTAGACAACGTGTTTGAACCTATCAAGCTAATGTATAGTTGCTGATAGAATATTTTCTGCCTGGTTCTATCTGTAGTGGTCCTGCTGGTGGAACGCGACACGTCGAGGTCCAGCCAGCGACACGAGTGGAGGCACTGAGGTCCCGTCAGTGACCATCAGTGCAGGTGCTGAGGACCGCAGGCTGCTGAGAAGCGCCTGGCACCAGGAGAGATCCCAGGAGACGACCGTCTCCGCGCCAGGGCGGCTGCAAGCAGCATGAACTGGTCCCAGCAGGAGCAGCAAGAGGAGGCCCCCGGGGACGAGACGTGCCCCATCTGCCTGGGCCAGATGACCGACCCGGCTCGTGTCGAACCGTGCAGGCACACCTTCTGCCGGGAGTGCATCCGCGTCTGGACTGCCGACAGACTCAGATGCCCAATGTGCCGCGGGCGCATCGTGGCCATCGTGCGCGTGGTGCCGCCCGCCCTGCGTGACGCATTATCCCGCTGGCTCCGCAGAAGATTGGAGCACAATGCGGAGCTGGGGCGGCGGCAGCGGCAGAGGAACCCCTCCAGATATCGGTCCCGCAGCGTCTCGCCCAGGCGCAGGGAGCGCAGCCCCGCCATGGGGCAACAACTTCGCCGAAGCTTTTCCTGGCACTCGGGGGACGATGGGCGCGGAATGCTACGGTCCCGGGAGGACGACAACATCGGGGACATGCGCTGGATTCGAAGGGCCCAGCTGGAGGAACCGGGGTCTGGCGACCACGCGGGCCGCCAAGCCAGGCCCGAGGACTGAGAGGGGCCTCACCTGGGGACGGGCTGGGGGTGGCAGCCACAATTACCCCAGTATTAAATTGACTTTTCCACCCACAAAGCCTCGGTCTGCACTTATTCCTGCATTGGTTAGGGGAAGGGGGGGGTGAACACTGCGGCTTCCTCAGCAGATACCCTGGTGGTTGAAATCCCCCATCAGCACAAGAGCTTGTGAGTGTGACAGTTCTTGCAGCTGAAGCAAGAAGGCCTCATCAACAGACTCCCCTGATCAGATAGCGCTGTAGCAGACCCCAACCACTAGATGTCCTTTACTGGACCGATCCTTGATTTTCACCCACAAGCTCTCAACCAGCTCATTGCTGTTCCTCAGGCACAGCTCTTGACAGTCTCTCTACTTCCTAACACAGAGAGCAACTCCTACCTTCCTTCCTCACCTACCCATTCCGAACAGTTTGTAGCCATCAAAAGCCACACTCCAGTCATGGGAATCATCCCACCAGGTTTCTGTGATGACAACTACCTCCCAGTTTCCTATGAGCATGGTGGCCTCCAGCTCCTCCTGTTACCCAGACTGCATGCATTAGTGTAAATGCACCTCAGCTGGGCCACCTTTTGGGAGGGAGAAGCCCTAATACCCTCTTGACCATACTCAGGTGTCTCCACAGTAACCAACCTCCCACCAACCCTTGTGTCCTTCCTGCACAATGGTATGTCATCCTCATCCTTCACCCAGACACAAGACTGCAAGGTCTTGCTAGCACATTCCTCACCCACAAGAACTGGCATGTTACATTTAGGTAACATGAATTCAGGTAACATTCAGGTAACAAGTCAGCATTGCCTGGGGCTGTGTTTCTGAAGGCCATTTCTTTGGAAAGTGGCCCTGGGTCTATCATCTTTAGCCTCTCCTGTCTAACCCAAAGACTCAGGGCTGTTGGAACATGGGTTGAGGCAACAAGAGAGGATCCAGCTTCCTTTGGGCTGTTGCATTGGGTTGACGGAAGGAGTCCCCGAGGGTCAGCATGTGTCTTTAATATTTGTGAAAATAGACTAAGGGGTGAAAATATTAGTGTGTAAGCAATTAGAGGTGGGTAATTTCTTAGGTTAGGAGTGAGTTTCTATAGCTGAGTAATTGGTAATGACAGACATAGAGAAGGCTTGTTCTACTGTCACAGTGGGATGGAATCCACTCCTCTCACCCTCTCCTCGAGGTTCAGTGTCTTGGACCGGGAAGACAGAAAATCCAACAACAGCAGGTCCATCAGAGTGTAGATCCAAATTTCTGTAATAGTGGTGGTAATATTCTCTCATGTGATCAGGATGCTGTGAGAGTACTTTATGAGCAACCACCATAGAAAAGTCCAGAAAAGTTCATTGTAGCCCCACATTGCTCTTATGGGTACCTCTGAGCTATGCTCAGAACAAAAGTGGAGGAACAAAGCACTGAGCAGGTGCTCAGTGTCATCTCAGGTATTGAATTAGTGTCCTCTCTCCCCCCAGTTAACTCCGTTCCAAAACCATTGATTCCCTCAGGTTAAGTAAAATGCAATGCCTTCTAAATGGAAATAAAAATAACACATTTTTTGTTAAAATGTGCTTTAATAAGAAGACACAATTTTGAAATTCAGATAACACAAAAACCATAATCACAACTCCTACTTAATTCCTGTATGTCAGCGGGCTTAATAAGCACTGATATTTCCACTTGGTAGCTAATTGTTCATATCAAGCACAGGGTATGTACTTGATAGGCGTCATCTCCTCTGTGTCTTGGTAAGAGCCTGACTAATACCGTCTCATTACTGCAGAATTGTTCCTGGCATTGTGTGAGCTTCCTGACATGGGAGAAATGCCATGCCTGCCTTTGGTAAACAGAGTACTCAGAGCTTGTTTTCTTTAAAGAGATTGGTCTGGAAGGTCCTGTGGTGACTCTAATAACCAAGAGGAGGGATCCTTCTGATTACGATAGTTTTGTCTTGCAGGCTCCTACCCTCCATCTCCTTGACCCTATGCACCAGACAGATGTGACACTGTTAAGCCCATCAGACCCAGCTCATATGGTAAACCCAGCAGGGTTTATTTGATTAAGATCTACTCCATGACTGCGTTTCCATGTCTATCTCAAAATTATAGTGCTCTAGTGTCAAGAGAAGGATGTGCTACCTGCTGCTTATCTCAAACTCTTACATTGCTTTATTAACATATATTTTTCAAAAAATTTTTTTTTTTGATTTAAAGTCTTAAGTTATGAAGAATCCATCACATACCCTGATAAGTTTTGCATATGTTAGCAACATTCAGTTTTTGTTGATTTTTTTTTTTTTTGGTGGTGGTGTTTTTTGTTGTTGCTGTTTGTTGTTTTTTTGTTTATTTTGTTGTTTTTTAATGATTATACAACTAGTCAGAACTCACGTCAACTCCAAGAATTTCAGCCACCAAATCTCAATGTATTTTTGTTTACTGCATGAATAACATTTTCACTATCAAAAGCATTTCCTTTTGGAACAGAGCCTTATCTAGGAAGCTAGGGTAAAACTTAGTGGGTTATAGATGGAGGCCTAGATCCCCAAACTCCTCACATGGATTTTTCTCACCACCACCACTCTATTAAACTTGAAGATTACACAGTTGTCTAGATTTGGTTCATGCATTTGTAATATTAAATTAGCCAACGGTTCAAGAAACAGAAATGGTCTTGGGAGCAGAATCCAGGACTGCCCTCTCTCCTTTCTTCGTCCTCATGTAGCCTCATGCTCTCTTCTGCCCCTTCCTACTCCTGTCTCAGGGCCAGGCAGTCTTGGCACCCTTGCATGGGGAACATGGAAATTAATTCTCTCTTGTACCTGTTGGATACTGAACTTGCATCTCTGAGTTCATAAGCTTGTGTTGTAAAATAAGGCAGTATGTTTCTGGTCGCTTTTGAGCGTGTTTTAGCATAGTATGCCCAACTCAGTTTTCCAACCTCCACATAAAGGAGCCTACTTCACAGAAACAGGTTTTAGACTCCAATTGCTATTGAATGGAGGAGTGTTCCCGCTGTGCAAAATTAAATGAATGACCTAGTGATGGAAGAAGATAAGATTGCAATCGTAATTGTGTTTAGACCTATAGCATAGCTATGTAGAACTACCTGCATGGCCTGTTCTGACTAACTTGTGTGTTTATACGTTTGTAGAAGGAAATCCAAAGCTTGTAGCTCAAGGCCAGCAGCATTTACAAAAGACCTACCTTACCTACACAGTATTTTGGAATTTGATTTCATACTAGCGCTTAGCTAGTCTGTTAACTCAATGTTCTCTAGTGGCTGAAGTACATCTAACAGTTCTGTTTGACATGAAAAGACTCATATCCATGCACTCCAAGACAACTCTGTGCTGCTAACCAAAGCATGGCAGCTAAAGACACCAGGGGTCCACTTCAGAATTGCAACTCTGACGTGAACTAAAAAGCTAAGGTAGGTGCAACTGAAGTATCCATTAGTCTTATACACAGGCTGTGATGATGGAAATCATGTGGTCAGCTGTTATAATTCCAATTGAAAGTAGTGCCAATAACAATATAAAAAGCAGCATGCACAAGAAAATGTGTATTGTAAAATTAACAGTACTGCTTGTAGCATACTATTTTATCTTAAAACACAACCAAAAAATACCACAGGCTACAGTCTTTCTTAAAATAATAGATGCAGAAGATACAAGATCAATTGTTCTTGAATGCTAGCACATTTGCTTTTTCCTAATACCTTGATAGGATATTTTTTCCTTCCCTTTCTAGTTATATTTGCATAATTGAATGCTAGCTAAGCGTCCATTTCATTTTCCACTTTAAAAATGTCTTTCTTGATAGCAGACAGGATGTTACCACCTCTATTCCAAAAACAAAAGCCTTGGTCATTTAAAGTAAAAGATCTTCACCTTATGACTGGACTGCAAGCCATCATTCCTTATGTAAGCAGCAGGGTGTTTTTTTTGTTTTGTTTTGTTTTGTTTTTTCCCCCTGAATTTTCTTTCAAATTTACTGATTGCTTTAAGAATACACTTGGCAGACTCCATAAGAAATTTTCCACGGGGGTGTTCCATATTTAAAACCACTTTTCAAGCTCCCTTATGCAATATATGATCCTTGAGTTAAGTCTTTCAGAAGTCCATGGGATTCACACCACCTTCTGTTGGTTCCTCTGGTTGTTCAGTAGCACGTGATACATAAAAGGTCTTATATCAAAAAGATACAACAAAAGTATCTACAATGATCTTGGCAAATAGTAAGCAAAACTTTCCAATTATTCTACACTAGACTGTCCAATGAGACTGTGAAAAGGCTTACATATATTTTAT